GACCGTCCTCGACGGAAGCCCGGGAGCAACGCCCGAATGTCCCCGACACGTCGAGGCGAGGGGCGGGCGGACATAGACAGGGAATCCAGAGCCATGCCCAGGAACAAAGCCTGCTGAGACGGCACCACATTGCTCTTTGCCAGGTTCACTCGCAGACCCAACCTGGTCACGTGCTCTATCACAGCCTGCGTATCCCGCAGAGACTGCTCGCGAGTGGGGGCACAGATCAGCCAATCGTCCAGATAGGGCAGGATCCTCAACCCCCTGGCCTGCAACGGGGAAAGAGCCGCCGCCACGCATCTCGTAAAGACCCGAGGAGAGAGCGAGAGGCCGAAGGGAAGCACCCTGAACTGGAAGTGCCTCCCCTGAAAGGCAAAACAAAGGAACCGGCAATGCTGAGGAGCAATCGGGACGTGAAAGTAGGCGTCCTTCAGGTCTATTGACGTGAACCAGTCCCCAGGGGACACCGCCTGGAGGACCTGCCGGACACGCAACATCTTGAAAGGGAGGACCTTCAAGAAAACATTCAGACGCCTCAGGTCCAAGACCGGTCGCAAGTCGCCGGTCTTCTTCGGTACCAGAAAATAACGGGAATAAAAGCCCCCTGGATCCAGCAGGGGGTCGACAGGCACGATGGCATCCTTGTCCAGTAGAGTACGAATCTCCCGGACAAGTGCCTGCGCCCTGACCGGGTCCTGGGATGACAGTCACAAGGACCCGGCCGGGAATAGGAGGCCGGCGGCGGAACTGGAGACGATACCCCACGGACAAAGTGGCCACAACCCATGCATCGGGGGATTGGGCCCTCCAGTAACCAAGTTGTCCCGGGGTAAACCGTCCCACCACCGGCCCCGGCGCCTCACCGGAGGGCACCCCGGCCTTTAGCGGGCCTGGGGGGGCGGCGACTGGGACGCAGTGGAGCCTGAGCCGGGGGAAAGTTCCCGCGCCGAGCCCCATGAGCCGACGGCCCATCCACCGTCCGGGGCACAGAAAAACTACGGGGCGGAGCCACCCGCCCGCGCACAGGGGCAGCAGAAGCGGACGCACGCGAGGGATGCCTGTGCAGTCCCACCAACTGCTGCCGGGTCTGAGTGGCCTGGACCGTGCGCTCCAGAGCCGCAATGGCAGCCGAGCCAAACAGCTCTCCAGGGAGCACAGGAACGCTCCTCAACACCCTGCGGCTGGCCTCGGAGAGAGGGGACTGCGCCAACCACACCTGGCGGCGAGTCTGAACCAGCGTAGAGAGGAGACGCCCCAGTTCCCTAGACATGAAGGCAAAAGCCTGCAAGGAAGCATCCACCATCCCCTGCGTGGACTGGTCTAACGTGACAGCCTCCAGAGAAGCGGACAGCCCCAACAGCAGATGAGACAGGGAGTTCCCAATGCGGCCCATGCGGGCACCCATGTCATAGGCCTTGCAGAGCAGGTCATCTGTGGCCCGACACTGCGGCCGAGGGCACCAGGCATTAGTGCGCAGAGCCTCTTCAGGGTGTACAATCAAGGAGGCAATGGCAGGCTCCACCGCCGGCATATGCCCCAGGCCAACTTTGTCAGGCGCCTGCATAGAAGCCAGGGCCCGACCGTCCGAATTGGGCCTAGAAAAAACCCTCGTGTCAGTCCAACAGGCATGTAGCTCCTTGACATATTCCGCCGAAGGAGGAACAGAGAACCCCGAGGACGCAGACTGGCGGCGAAAGAAGGCACTCGAGGGCCCCGAATCGCACCGAGGCACATCCAGCTTCAAATGCGCCAGAGCCGTTCGGATCGCCGCAGTCACGGGCTCATCGGAAACCGACAGAGACCCGACAGAACCCACCGAACCAGACTCCGAGACCCTGGAGCTCAGAACATCAGAGCCCGGCCGAAAATGTGTGTCAGATGCCGCCACCGAGAGAGCATCATCCTCATCGCACACCGACAAAGGGACCGAGACCGGTCGGGCCACCGACTGGCCAGTACCAGCCTGAAGGTCATGAAGGAGGGTCCGCAACTGAGCCAACTCCACAGAGAGTGAATCGACCTTCGAAGTCAGAACCCCGCGACCAGAGGACTTCGACTTCTTCCGCGGAGGGTCATCACCCCGGGCGCCCTCACGTTTGCGACCAGGGGGTCGGTCAACCAACAGGGCAGACTCACAGTCCCCAGAATCGCCACTGAAATGTCCGTCCAGGGCCGACAGGCGGGCCACGCGCACCGGCCAGGGCATTACCGCACAATCGGGACATGCCCGCTCGGTTAGCGCCTCCCGCAGGTGGCCCACACCCAGACAGGAGGGACACAGCACATGGCCATCGTCCTGCTGCATCGGGGCCAGACAGGACTGGCAGGCCAACGGCTCAAGCATCCCAGCGAGCGAACGCGCAGGAGCAGTCGCCGCCAAGTACAGGGGCACTCCCGGTAGGGTCAGGTCGAGCAGAGACGCCACTAGTGACCCACCGAACGCCTCACAGGTTCAGGGAACAACCAATACAGCAGGGTCAGGTCGAGCAGAGACGCCACTAGTGACCCACCGAACGCCGTACACGTGCCGGGAACAACCAATGTAGTAGGGTAGTGCGAGCAGAGACGCCACTTACAACCCGCAGAAACACGTGGAACACGCGCAGGCAACAGCCAATTCAACAGGGTCAGGTCGAGCAGACACGCCACCAGTGACCGACAGAAATTAACAAATAATTAACAAGGTAATTAACAAGACACAGGGTCAGGTCGAGCAGAACGCCACTGGTAACCCACCTAACACACTCTGAATACGCGCAGGTAAACAGCCAGATAACAGGGTCGGGTCGAGCAGAAACGCCACTAGTAACCCCCCAATTATAAGAAGTAACGAAAAACAACCAAGTCACGGCGAATAAGCAAAACAAACACTCACCAGAGGCAAGCAGCGCGGCTTGCGCAGCCCACGGAGGGCGAGAAACTCGCAGCACCGACCGACGAGCAGTCACGGGGCTACAGGCAGCAAGCGGCGCGAACAACAGGCACAAACAGCTATCAGTTAGCTTCAGCCAGACTCATACAACCTGCATGCGAGAAAGTGAAAAGGGACTGTGCTTCCGGTGTCACGTGGCTTTATAGACTCTCGCGTGAGCTACCGGAGGTCACGGGTGACTTTGTTGTTATTTGACTCTCGATCTGTGCATGCGCGAGGATGATCATCCAGTGCTTAAGCACCGCCTCTGGCGGTCAGGAAGGATGAAATAGAACCATATTCTACCACCAGAGGGAGGAGGAGAATTTGTTTTTGCGGACTCGCTGGCCTCGCTCTTTCTGCTCCCCTCCCCGCACCCACGAAGCTATCGCCCCCACACACACACCCACAGTTGTTGACGGAGCTAGCGTCTCCCAATATGGATAACACATGGATATGGATTTTCACGTTGGTGGCGTGACCATAGAACGATAGAACCAGGAAGCTTCTTTTGGATGGCTGTCTCGCTGTGTAAGCAGTAATCTGTGACGAAGACGAGGAAGCTTCAGGTTAGCTCCGCCGCTTGTTGTGCTAACTCAGCCGTCTATGCTAACAGGGACCTGTAGATTTCTCACAAAAGTGGGGGCTAGTGGTCCGCTGTGATTGGTCACAATCTGAGACCCGAAAGACATTCTCTTCCTTGTTTCATCAAAACTCGATCTAAAATATAATATAACGCCAGCACAAATCTGCGCTACTTTTTCTTCAAAAGGACGTATGTCCCAATGCACTGCATGGACATGGATAGCATTTTCGTAATGAATACAAAAATAAAGTCAGTTAGTGCAGCTTTAAGTAAGTAATCTGTATTTATAAAGCACTTTTTACAGACCAGGGTCACAGAGAGCGGGGTATAACAAATTTGCAAATTGCTGGCTACAAACAAAGCCATACGATTGTAAATAATGTCAATTCACTATAAATTGCTAAAACAATGGTATATGGTGGAGTATATGATGCCATAGTGGTACAATGACATCATACTATTACAGGACAGAGACAGGAGTTTTTAGATGGTCTTTGCTCGTTCATGAGAGCAAAGAGAATCACCGGAACCTTTTCACTTTTTAAATTGGCCTTTGTATAAGATACCTTCAGTGTGTTATTACAGTCTGTCTCTATTCTTTCCTCCAATCACAATCTGACATGTGTCACAGTGACGCACACTCAGGAACTCGGGGACCATTAAACAATGAATACAAAATTGACCTCCGCCTGAGTTTCCAGGTTGAGCAGCGTTCAATCCCACTTTTCCGAGTTTCAGAGATCGCGCATAAATGTGGCATGAGACTGGAGCTTTCAGAAAGAAGGGGCGGACATTTGTGACAGAAGTTCCTCATATTAGTGTGGATGGATCTAAAAACAACTCCAGGTTTGTTTTTTGATGGGGGAAGAATGTTGAAACAGGGTTAAAAAAGCTCAAGAAAGTCAATCTAGCATCCATCCATCCATCCATCCATTTTCTACCCTTTAATCCATTTCTGGGTCAGGGGGGTGGCAATCAGAGATGCCACCCAAGTCTCATAGCACCAGCCCCTCACTGACCCTCTGCAGGTGGTGAGTCCACAGGAGGACGGCTGCTCTCTGACTGTGAGCATAGCCTTGATCTTTCAGTGGGGGCTTTGGGCAAAGTGGGGTTAAGTGTCTTGCCCAAGGACACAACGACAGCAGTCATCAGTGGGAGTCGATGGAGAAGGTGTAGAGGTGGGAATTGAACCCACGACCTTCAGGCCTGAAGGCCAATGCTCTACCAACTGAGCTACTGTCGCCCTTACAACAATCTATCTAGCATAATACGCTAAAATATCCTTTGAGCTTTTCAAGTGACAGTTTTGGATTTTATTTTCCCAAACCACAGTTTATATGATTATGGTTAAGAATGAGCAATTTTGTGCCAGAAGTTACTAATATGAGGAAGGATGTGGATGGATGTAAAAACAATACCAGGTCTGTTTTTGATGAGGGAACAACGTTTTCAACATGGTGAAAAGCTCAAAGAAGTAGCCTATTCCGTCTCCTGCTGCTGTACCTGGTTGTTGGACAGGGGGGAGGTGAAGTGGTGCGAGTGCAGGTTGCGTCCCGTCTTCATGTGTGTGAATCGGACTTGTTGGCCACACTTGATGGGTGCTCCGCGGGTACAGGGCTTGTCCGGCTTCCCGCGGATCTGCCAGAAGCTGTTGGCATCGTCAGCTGCGTCCACTCCGGTCACAGACTGCTGCCCGCTGCCTGAAGAATACAGAAGAACTTTACATTAGTTATTCTAATGGTTTTTCAGAGATGTTGTTGCAGCTCGTGTCCTGACTATTTCCAGGGCGTTCTCATGTCTCTGTGATGTATTCAGAAATAGATTTTATATCAGGCTTTGGTCATCTGCATGTTCACTTCCCATGGGAATACAACAGGTGCAGTAGTGATACCAGATGATCTAAAGATTTTTCACTGTTTATTACCGAGGATTTGCCACAAAACACAATACTTTAAGTGGAACTAGGTCAAATATGACAATAAATGACAAACAAACAACGCTTCAACCGCTTTAGCACATTTCAATGCTTCAAACGATTAAATCTTACTATATTCTTTAGCCTTGGGAACAGAATACACTTCCTCCAGAAAGAATATTGTAAATGTTCAACTTCATAACCAAAGTGAGTTAGCTTCACATTGCGTTTGTCATGTCGAATAAAATATTGTCTCAGCGTTTTAAACGACTAATTGATTTATGGGAACAATAATTTCTAGACTATTTGTGTCTAGTCTATCTAAATAATAATTAGTTACAGCCATAGACTAGACTCACCACAGTTTTAGCCTTAATTCAGAAGAAGGCGATTTGAACATAAGCTAGCTGGAGCCATTTTCCTTATACATGTGTTTGTTCTGATCTGGTAACAGGGGAGACGTGTTGCTAGGATGGTTGCTAAGGCAAGCAGGAGTTTCCTTTATGAATAAAGAGATCTGATTCATCAATCCTTATAAGGATTTACAAAAGGTAGTATCAAAGTATAAACATATTTTTAAACCTAAAATGTTGAGTGTGACACAGTTACTGCACTAGAAGTTTACTTTTCAATGTAAGGAGTCAATAGGAGAGTTGGAACAAAACTTCCTCCATGAGCACTTTCCTATTGGGCTTCATTGAACTAGGGATTTAGCATTGTCCATCCATATGAAATTATACAGTCTATGGTTACAATCCTAGTATGGTGCATTTGAATAGTGGTGTAAACCGGAGCGCCCAGAGGAAAACCCATAAAATACAGAGATATAACAAAAGTTATAGAGAGTTTTAATAGAAAACTTCGCCTTGAAATCTGATTGGTGGATGCGGTTATGAAGAAAGCTGCTCTATGGTTGTGCTACAGTCTATGGCTAGTGAGCAAACATTCATGAATGCTATAATGACCCAGACTTAGTGTGGCGTATAGTAATGTTCTTAAAATGGGAAGAATTCAGATATATTTAAATTATCTATTTCTAAAATCAAGTCAAACCATGTGTAGTTCCTATTTTGACCAATGAGAGCGCATGTGTATATGGTACTTTTAAAATAAAACTAATATAATCTGCTCCACTGTTTTCTGAACGGAGACCTGACTGTACCCTTTAAGACACATGTAGATCATATTAATATATCTATCAATAGCAGAGGGAATCTTTTTGGACATTACATAGACTGGACACTGCACCAGGAAATACACACTTTGCATCATTTGTACGCAGACAGGCAGATACAATTGTGTTATTTTAAATGCATATTATACCCTTATTAAAAGCCGATAACCTCATATACATTACTCAATTATCCGGGTCTGAAACAATGACAAATCGGCGTTACCTGATCCGTATTTGACGTCGTGGGAGTGGAGGCGGACATTGTGGCGAGTGTTGAGTAATTTGACTAGAGATCCGCATGTGACCAAGTTCAGGTCCGAGTCCCGGGCCTCAGCTCCGGACCAGGCGGACCAGAGCAGCACCAGCGGGAGAACAGAGGCTAGAGCAGCCGAGGGAACACGGACACACCGCCGCCAAAGCATCACTGCCTCCTCCGATAACGACCGAGAGGAACCGGCCCACGAGCAGCCAATCACAGCGTGACAGGATGCACGAGCAGCCAATCAGAGCCTGACAAGTCTAATAACACGGAAGTAAAGCGGAGAGGCTGGTTCTCGATAGGTTCAGGTGGTACTGTGGGTGAGACTCTTTACAATCTTGGCATTTCGTCCTGGGCAGAGATAAATATTCAAATGTTGATATTTCTTTGTATGAATTTGAGATTAAAGTCACAATCATGGATTTAGGGCGAGGTAGATTTGGCGTGAGATTAGACTAGTTTACTGTAAGACAATTCACCACTATTCTAAATGCTTTCATTATTGGTCTGCATTTGATTTTTAAATTGTTTTTTAATTTTATGTTTGTCATTTTAAAATGTATTACTAAATAATAATACATTGTTTTGTTATTATCTGTAGGCTTCATGGCATTGTGTGGTCTTAAACTAATGCTGTAGCCACAACTGCCCTGGGGTAAACCAACAGAAGGAAGGCTGCTAATCTGTGCCATCGCTCTTTCGACCACCACTAATAATTCACTCTTATACGAGACTCATAGTGAGACACGACTGCTTTTTGGCATTCTAGAGCCGGGTGAAGGCCACAATTAATAGAGACTAAAAATACAAAAGATACTTAAAAAAGGTCAATGAATCAATCAAGTATTCATTAGTTACAGAAGCAATCTTCCATTCCAAGCTGCTGATGGTAATATTATATTAGGAGATAACATAGTGGTGTGTAAAAGTAATATATTATTCTAAATTTTGAGGCTGTTAATTACAAATTACACAGCTGACAGGATACTCATAAGCTTCAGGTGTGAATTCATTTAGGACTTTTTACCTGATTCTGAAACCGTGTACGGAAAGACATCACAGAATAGCCACTGCTGATGCTTGCATGTCTTGCTTAATTGTGATACTTCCAAATAGCATTTTGTATTAGATCACTTGTACTTTAAGTGCTGGGAATCTCAGGGTCACAAGTGCCAACAAAACAGACTTCACTATGTTTCAACAAAATACTTATTTCACTTTTTTTGACTGCTCCATGTTGCTTCACTGTTTAATTTAATTTGAAAGTCATCTCTCCATCTGTCAATACCATTACATAGTGTTGATAGTCTTTTGCAGTGTCAATATCAAAAGTCACTTCATACAATCCCTTGTTTTAAATGTGAAGGTTTTTGTTTAGTTAGAATTTATTTTTTTTCTGTGAATAATTGTTTGTATAGCTTGTGCATGTTTGAAATAAGGTAATACAAAGGTAATACAAAGGTAATACAAATTTAATAGTGAAAGTATTGAGATAGATCTTAACAGCAATTGTACTGTAGAAAGACTTCCTGGTGCGTTCCTTCCATTCCATCAGTTCGTCCCCCTCCCTCAGTTAAAAAAAAACCTCATTTTGAAGTGTTTGTTTTTATTTCATTGCAACACAATACAACAGGAAACATGTTATACTAACTATACTGTACTGGCTTGATTCCTTCAACATTTAAAAAGAAAACATGCAAATTATAAATCCAATCTGATTAAAATCTTATAACACACATCTGGCCTGAGACATGATCCAGAAACTTCAAAACTTCACATAGTCCATTACACAACAGCTCAAAAAGTATTTACATTTAGTGATTTACACATAAAATATAAAAAAAAACAAATTAAAAACTGCTCAACACATCACTGATATAAACAGACCTTAAAAATGTGACTTTTGGTTTAAATTGTCATTAAAACATAGCATAGATTTGGTTCACAGCACGGGGGAAACAAACTCCTGAGACGTTTAAGAAAAAGAATCTGGTCTGGACTGGTTCAGGGTCTTTGGTCGTACTCGCTGATCTTCCTCTTGATGTGGGACAACTTGGAGCGCAGATATTTGCAGCGTTTCTTCTTGATTTGAAAGTGAGAAGACTGGACACAAAAAATATCAAGTTAGAGTTAGAAGTGTGAGTGTGACAGGTTTAACTAAACTGCCTTTCCCACAGCCGTTGATCATTTACAGTTTTTTTCCCATATAGTTTATACTAGGCCTTTAAAAAGTCCGGCCCCCGAGCCATTTACGGCCCTCTGTGTAATGTCATGTGGCCCTCTGTCTTCTGTCTAACCCAACAAGATCATAAACACAGGTTCACGGTGTCATCCAGCCAACTTCAGCTCCACCATCATAAACATGTTATACCTTTAACCCTTTAAGCGCCAAAGTCGCAATATTGTGACAAGCAACATTGCTCACTTAAACAGACTGTATCTAAAAATGTGGTGCAGAATCTTGTTAATACTTTTCACCAGGGGTTAGTGGACATGTGTGCCTGTAATATGAGCAGCATTTGTGGGTCTGGTTACATTGAAAGTTTTAGAGTAAATCGAGTTCGTAAAACACCTGCGGCGCAGCGGCGCGGAGGCGAAGCAGCAGCGGTAGAGCTGAGAGGAGCGAGAGCAGAGCAGAGGGAGAGAGGGTTTTTTCTTTTACTCACGAGGTCTTCAGTACCAGAGAAGTACTTGGTCTGGTACTGGCTCACTCAGATTCAGAGGAGGAAGACACGCAGGTGTCCAGTGAAGCAGCCACGGACATTATTGGTGACGAGGAGACCGCGCTCCATAGTCCACAGTCAGCCCCTGTGCAGCGGCTGCTTGTCCTCCGTGTGGCCACAGAAGCATTCTGTGAACGCCAAGCAGGGTCCGTGGTGGAGGGGACAGGGGGATCATAACACCGGGCATGTGGGAGAAAGTAGCCGGGGTAGACATCCGCGGGAAAAAGCACATCGCTAATCGCATTCACTGCCTTTACCAACAGCGATGATGAGGATGAAGGCAGTTCTTGAGAGAAAATAATCCACAAAAGTGGATCAGAAGCCTGTTGTATCTTGTTGAGATGATCTGACATGTTCTGTGCCCATTCATTTCATCTCTCCGTTTCTACACGATAAATCCTGGAGCCTCATTTCCACTGAGAAAAATAGTATGCCCACTACTTCTTTGAAAGGGAAATATTGAAACCAATCTCCAGATTTCATGACTGTAAACTATAAAGAGTGCAGTCTTGATCACTGAAGGTTTTTGAAAATAATAAAATTCCATATGGCTGCGAACCAGTGCTAAAGCATTATGTATAATCTGGATCAGGGAATTTATTTCTATCCCAAATTCATTTCATACTGAAGATATATTTCACATTTACAGTTTATAGTATTCCCTGATCTCAAATAACTCCCAAGCTACAGCTTTTTGAAGTCTTTATACAATAATTAACATTTTCCAAAATGGCCGCCACCTTGATGACGTCAGAATATGCAAATTAGATGACGAATCAACTTCCATCCCAAAGTTTGGTTCAGACTGAAGATATTTCTAATTTACAGTTTGCCTTTATCTCAAACCATTTTAAAGTTATAGCCTTTTGAAATCTTGAAATCAAAATTGTATATTTTCTTGAAAAAACTCTGGCGCCTAAAGGGTTAAGTAACACTCAAAGCCTCTTGAATGCAGTCATTGACAACAGACTGCTATATCGAAAAAAATATATATATATGTATATGGCGCAACTGTAGTTGGTGAAAAAGCAATTCATTCTTCAGCCAACTTAAGCTTTGTCTAATGTCACGCCTTATTTTATTTTACTAGTCTTTTGAAAAAAAATGCCCTCTTGCTCCCACTCCCACCCGAGTAGAGTAGAGTAGAGTAGAGTAGTTTTTTGCTATTTTGTCTTCTTATGAATCTGATGCACAAATGATTCAGTAGCGTCACATAGGAATTTTGGCAGAAAGGAAAAGAAACTTGCCGATTGTTTTATATTAAGGAAAATGTCAATATTGACAAAGCAAGGGTCAATTGATAATCACTGTACAGCAGCTTAGGGCTTCCTTATTTAAATCTCTTAATTCAAATTGAGTGGTACTACTACATATATATATATTTTATTTTGAAAGACTGGTATCGAAGCATTTACAGCACTTACAGATAGTTAAGTAATACAGCTACAATTTTTTTGTATATTTTTGTGTGCTCCCTGTGTGCTCTTACTACTGTCCTGTGTGTGCTGCAACATCAAAATTTCCCCACTGTGGGACGAATAAAGGAATTCTTATCTTATCTGGTATTTAAGATTTGGCTAAAAATTGGAAACATTTCATTTCTGCAATTTTTTCTGATTTATGTTCCAATTGTAAAAGGATGACACCACTCTGGACTTACCTTGTAGTTAGGGCCATTACTATAACAATGTTTATGGTTTACCCATAGTTTACCTGACCAGCAGCTAAAGAAACACTGCACAACATGACGTGTACCACCAGAGGGAGTCAGCACACACAAAATATTATCAGTACGACTAAAAGGTTCAAATACATTTTATCTGATCACCAATAAGTATTAACATTCTTTTCTCTTTTTACTTTGGATACAGAGAAAACAGAAGAGCGTGCAATGCTTGGTCTTTGCATTAGCATCTCATCAAGAACTTTTTTTATACCATTATACTTTTTTTAAATTACCTTCTTGAGGGCCTTGAGTCTGTTGTACTCATCCAAAGCGTCCTGCAAAAAATCCAAAAAAACAATTCAATAATTTCATAATTAGATTTTTCCTCAAGTCACATGCAAAATCCTACAGCCCCATTTACTCCAGCCCTACTCGGCTCTAGTCTATCTGGTTGTGTTCCCATTATGCTTTTGCATCTGGTACTGTATCCTTGCTACCTAGCCGCAAGGAAATTCCTTGGTAACCATGGCTTCCAGCGGCAAACTGGCCAATCATTGTCAGTTACACTTTAGTACCAGCTTGGCCTGGATAGATCAAGGGCCAAGTAGGTTATAAAGTACCTGGTAGTGGTCAAACAGGGCCGGTGGAAATGCTCCTATTTGAGGGAGGGAAGGGGAGGAGAGGAGGGCCAAGGAGGGCTGGTGCAAACAGGTCTTAAGTCTAATTTTCAATTTTTGTATAACTTTACAAGATTTCTTTTTGAGAATGCCAGGACTATGAATTTAAATGTAAATTAATAGTCCTCAAGTAACAAAATAAAAGGATTCCGATTCTAATAGTGCATTTAATTCTGATTCTGATAGTGTATTTACTTAGAGATGCACACCGATACAGGTAATACTATTAGTATTGGGTAATAATTGTTTGGCAATCAATGACGTAATAACAAGCTGACGTCAACCCAGAACAGCAAAACTTTTACACGTACAAAGTTTTTCTGTTATTTGCAGGATGAGCAACATTCAAAAACGCAATTCAACCCATTGTGGACTTTGTTAGTTGTGATTTATGGGTAAAAAAAAAAAATACTATTTTTTTCCTGGCATCAGTTCATACAGTCAAGAGCGAATCCGACAAAACAAAAAAAACTGATTCAAGCATCCCCTCTAATAGTCATTGACGTGATATAGTACAACAATGCGCCAGTTAGACCCGCCCCCACAAGCTACTGATTGGACAAAGACTTCAAATTCTTGATAGACAGCTGAGGACCTCTTCCCAATTGGTCTAACTATTCTCCTCCAGCAATTTTTACTGGTGGTGGTAATTACAAAGGAATTAATTAATTAAACTTAATTAAATTATTTGTGAAAAAATGCTAAATTATACTACTGGGTTATATGGTTCAAAATAAGCATTCCTATACAGGGCTGGACTGGGACCAAAAAATGGCCCGGGCATTTTTGCCTTCTTGACGGCCCAGGCGTGCTTTTTAAAAGTTTTTTTTACAATTTGTTTATACAGTATGCGGAAGCAAATACTGTGGAGGATCAGGATGTCTGCAGTTTCAACAATAAAATAAAGTGCAATAGTCTACATTACAAGAGAGTAATAAACATGTCTCAGAGTGAGGCAGGTGGACACAGACAACACTATTGTTTGTTACAGGAATGAGAATTGGTCAAAAAAGTCTGAAATGCATAACGTCAGCCATTGGCTGGCTCTAAATCTGTTTGATTTGTTCACAACATGTTACTTTTGGGCCAAACCAACATGAATTGCCCTGTACGCCAGTCCAGCCCTGCTCCTATACAAATTAAAAACAACTGAAGCTGGAGATATCACCTTTAATTTCTTAAAAGCCTTGCTCACACATACACTATGCTAGGTTAAAGCTCAGACCCTCTCCATGTTATGTGTCTCTCACCAGAAACTGTGGGCTGCCCTCGGGGTGCTGGTCCAGCTCCCGCTCCACTGAGGCCAGGTCCTGGTTTATGTGGTCGAGCTCGGACTGCAGAGCGCGGTACTCCTGGTGGTCCCGGTCAAACTCCCGCTTATACGACAGGCGCTCCGACTCGTCCAGGATCGGCGGAAACAGGCTGCAGAAGGAGGTGGTTATGGAATAAGGTTTTGTACCACACCCATGTACAGAGAGGTGGAGTAAGTGCAACTGTAACCTTATTATTATTATTATTCAAACACTGAAATACTTTGATTTATGAAAACTCTAGATGCCACAGCTTTGCGATGATGCTACATATTCACTTTTCTGCTTTATAGGGAAAGGATACAACATACCTTTAGCTGTGAATACAACTGAGGGATTTCAGCTTTACTCTTTTTGTGTGACTGTTTCCATCTTGTTTTGTACTGTGATCTGAATTGTGCTTTACAAATAAACTTGCCTTACCATGCCTACTTTCCCTGTAAGCATATATATTCAGTTTTGCATTTGCCATTTTGTTTTTTATCCTGTATTTATTTCTTACTGTGTCTAAGCTCAATTTCTAATGCAGGGGTCCCCAAACTTTTTCCAGTGAGGGCCACATAACTTTCTTCGATGGGGGCCGGGTCAGTTTGTAATAGAAAAAGTGTGATGCTTGCAGAGTTGAAATAGTTACTAACTAATAGTTAATAATGAAAAAAGTTCATAACTAAGGAACTTTTATTGCAAAAGTCCAACTTTATTATCAAATACACATATGAGTATGTTCACAGTAAAGTGTTGATTAAAGTATCTGGACTTTAAAAGGTTATAACTCTAAAACTAAAATTACTTTCATAGTTTGGAAAAAAATATTTCAAACACAGACAGATCAAAGAGATAGTGTGGATAAAATCAAAAGGAAAGTGACAAATATATTTTTGGCGACATTTTAAATGACAAAATCAGCATCTGATTTGGACCATTCTACTGTGACGCCAGTTACATAGAAAATAAAATGTCCTCAGTCTGAAAAAGCGGCAGATGAACTCCCACAAGATTTACATGGTTAACACAACATGAGTTAATCACTTGATATAAAAAGGAATTGTTAAAAAAATTAATGACCCCTCAAAAATGTGTAACGGATGTGATGGTTTCCGTCCATTTTTCTCTAACAAACTTGAGGGGGAAAAAATCTGGTCTGGTTTCACATTTAATTGGTTGATTATATGAAATTATCACTTAGTTTCTACTCTATGTAAAAAAAAAAAAAAATCTCTGAATCAAATGTGAACATCTAAAAATACGCAACAAACTTCCGCAGCTCATTCCGTCAAATCATCAACGTTACATAAAATAAACGTGGCCGCTTCAGGAAACTTGTCTAATGTATAAAACAGTTATGTTTTAGCAACTTCTAAGGGACAGAGGAGGTGTTTGGAGACATGTAAAACATAAAATATCTTCGGATTATTAAAATCAAATTTTTGGCCTTTTATCACACTTTTGTGCCCTTTAGTGTGAACAAGCCCATATATGAAAATACTCTCTGGTATTGTTCAGGGGCCCGGGCAAATGTAGAGGAGGGGCGGGTCCGGCCCATGGGCCGTAGTATGGGGACCACTGTTCTAATGTTTAAGCCTGATTTTTCAGTATCAGAACCCAAGCTACACTTTTTTTCCTCTTCTGGAGCTTTGCACAAAGGACAATGTAATCTGATACCCAAAGAATAAACTGATGCTTTTTCATAGGAAAGTTTGATTATCAGGATTCTCGCAATCGCTGTGTCAGCGTTGGGGGTCCCGTGGCTGGGCTAGTTTAACGCTGGTTAAATCGCAGCTCCGGCCGGATTTTCTATTGTTTTTCTTGAGTTGCCGTCTTTTCTAATAATGAACTAGGTAAAAAACAATCATATTAAGACGCAAATCAATAACAAACTATATACAGCACGCAAGAAACAGATTGGCCTCCGCCTACTAATCTATGACACCCGAGTAAACTATATATGATATTCCAAAAAAACTAGTGTAGACTCTTTGGATTATAAAGAAAATTAGGATTCAACATGTTCATGTGTTATTTTTTAGAATACTCCTCTCTGTGACAGTCGCTCACCTGCTGAAGTCCTCATCTTCCAGCTCGTCTCCAGACTCTGCGTCGTAATCTCGAGGTTTGGGGCCGAGGATGGAGCTGCTCACGTCCGAGTCCCTAGGATTAGAGATCGACAGAGAGGATAAGGTTTAAAGTTTTGTAAACATCAGCCTTCCCATCAGATCAATACACCATGGATTTTCATTCCTCACTTTAAAGGTTGATTTTAAAAACAACCACAATGTTAATTTTACTCCAGACCAGGGGTCTGGAGTAAAATATCGGATTAAATATCGGATTATTGTCTACATTTGACCAAAACAAAGCTCCAGTGATGTCCCTGGAGTAGATCTTCATAGAGATGTCTTGATACACAGTGGGTTTTTGTTATTATTATCTTAGTTGTTGACAATTTTTTCAGACAATATAGAATCAACTGAATCATACTATGGATCTCTTATGAAACCTTTGATGTACATAGTTAGTTAAAGCTGGACTCATCATTATATAGGCAGAAGCTGGTGATGATCTGAAGGTCAAAGCTAACATATCTAACTGGCGCCGTCGCGGATGCTCAGAGAAGGACCTTGATTCTTCTGGTATAAAAATCACTGGCAAGCTTTTCTCATTGTCTTGACTACGCCATCTTCCCATCATGTAAAAGTGTAGGTCCTTGTGTTTTAAGTATGATTGATGAGGACTGTATCTACAACTCTACAATGAACCTTTATACCGCAATTTGTGCATCTAGATTTGAAGATGGCCCTGATCAGGAGGGGTCTTACCCGGGCAGGTAGAGGGGTCTCCCTGGGTCCAGACGATCAAGGAAGTCCCGAGAACCTCCCACTTTCTCGTTGGGGGAGTTGACCAGGACCTCGGGGTCTCCACTCACGTTATTCACCTGAAAGAGACGGAAAAAGTTCAACTGGGGGTGATCTGCTGGAGTGGTTTCTATGAATGTCACTTTAAATCAAATAATGAAGATATCTAACTAAAATATTATGTGTTAAAAGTCAACCGAAGTAATTGATGTTTGAGTAGTCTCCGCTGTCGATACATTGCAAGCTTGTTGCTTTTAGGTGTTGTCGATACAAGAAAAAAAAACACTATAATTGATACCAATTTCTGATGCCACAGCGAACATTTCTTATAAAGCTCCTTAACTCAAAATGAATACTTAGTTTTTTATTATCTACTAATAATTTAAAATTCACAAAGTAATGTCAAATGTGAGAATTTTTTATTCAGGATTAATAATTGTTTGAATTTGTACAAATGTACAATATAAATCTTATTTTTTGTTGCACTTCCTGAGTGAAAAGGAAAAAAATACATTTTTGGTAGCTTGTGGAAACATTACTATGCAATGACTGTTGAGAAAGGAGCAGGTGGAAAACACGAGAGAAGAAAGCCCATGTCTATTCTTTTAAACCAGTCATCTGATGTTCCCTCTAGATTTGAATAAATAAAATCACTATGAGGAACCACTTTACATAATACTAACAAAACACAACCTCCAGTGGTAGCATCTATTGAAGCCATTTAGTCTTTTGAGATTGAGTCGTCTGTGTCCTGAGGTTTCTCCGAATTTGACCCGAATCTGTGCTGTAAACACTATGGTCAGACCGGTCCATCCGCCTCCTGCAAGAGTCGCCCAAACCAGAGTCAAGCAGACGGAACTGAGAAAGCCTGCTGCTGCCACACCAACAGGAAGTGCTTTGTGTAACTGTGTCTCAATTCTCAGGATCCTCCTTCCAAAGACATCTCCAGTGTCGGCTGCACTGAACTGGACTGGGCGGTTGTGCAGTGTCAGATCGAAAATGATAAAAGGTCAAAGTGCTGATGAAACAAAGCTTATACAAATGTAAGTGTTAGGATTAGATAGCGATTTGACCTACGGAGGACAACTGCAAGACTATACAAGGACTCTTCTGATGGTGCATCCATGTTTTGACTATGATGTGACTGTCTCTGTGTGACACGTATGTCTTTCGATGTGTGACGTGACAATGACTATATAAACTGTGTACGGACTCCATTTTGTCTGAGAGAAAGAAACAATGGAAACCACTGGAACTTGAGAGAAACTTAAATAAACTTCCAGAGTTTGGCGCACCACGATCCGTCTCTGTCTGGTTCATTCCTGACAGAAGGTCACTCTGAAGAATTGTGTAAAAAATAAATATTGTAATGTATAAACTTTAAAATTTTGGCTCCAATGAAAACGAGAGAAACAGGAGTATCTCAGGGAAAAATGCTAAAATGGCAGAGCGTTGTAGGAAGTGAGATCAATTATGTGGATTATATATAAAGTGGGGCGCGGGATCACAGCTTTTGAAATCAGTGAGTCAAGTGGGGTGCTCCAGGGGTCAACACTAGAACCACTGTGGCTTGCCCTCCGTTAGGCCACATTATTGCAGCGCATTAACTTCCAATCACAACTATGCAAATGAATCTGAAATCAGAAAATATCAATGTGTGGACACATGCACATGTTCCTTGGAGGATTCTAAATATTGAACATTTAAATATTGGATCATATGTCCTTCAAAAATGGTATACATTATTCAATAGGGAAAGACTTGTATATTAAAAATGTAAGTGCTGTATGATTACTGGCATGTATAAGGAGGCTTTTGTTAGTTTAGCTGGAACTAACTAAAATGTTTATATACAAGTTGAATATTTGAGTATAGTAACTAGATTAGAGTACACTTTGAAAGAAAATGTATTAGTATCAATGTAGATGGTACACATCTTATCAAATATCTAATTCTGCACCCAACTAAACAAAAGTTCCAGATTGATGTAAAGTGGTCTTCCTCATCCTGAAAATGTGAAACCAGTCTCAATCCAAATCTACAAAAATTGTTTTAAAGAATGCATTTGACACATGTGCACGTTTCAATACATTTCCTTCGGTGAATGCAAAGACTCTACAACTTCCCTGGCCTATAGACAACGTCGAAGTAGAAGCAACAGATTATAGTAGAAGTAGTGTTGGCAGTGGCAGCAGCAGCAGGAGTAGTCGAATTACAGGTTGTTGTAGTGTCCCTTTGACCACACCCAGAAACTGCAGATGAAACTCTCCCTTTGTTTCTATCACACTGACATCAAGACTGAAAGAATGTGCCACAAAACCAGAACTAGACCTACACTGACTTGGAGTGAACGCAAGGACTAACTAGGGACTTAACGTATGCCACGATTAAACCAGAAACTATAGCAGGGACTACAAGAAGATTGAACTCTTTTAACACACAGACAATCTAGCTCCTGTTCTGTACTATAACCGACTGCTAGGATAAATTTACATCCTACAACAATTATTCAAACAAATACTCTATGTTCTGCCCACAAATATAACATCATCTAATTCAAGGATCACTCCAGTTTCCAGGGCCTGCTCCACTTGTTCCTTTACTTCAATAAGAGCCGAATCTTTTGAGTTTTGTTCAAAGTTGATTTATTTAAAACTGGAAAATATTTACATATTAATTTACAACACACAAATCCATCAGTATTCTACTCCATTCACATTTTCTAAAACTCCTGAAGCTTTCAAGACAATTTGATAAGAACACTTCCAGTTCAGGACCCTCTGATCTATGACCCCATGCATCAAAACCTATACAAATTATTGTATGTTTATTTCACACATAATGAAGCTAATTATCACAAATACTATGCTCTACTATTTCAATTACTTTTTGGTCGAACAGACCTCCCAGCTCCATTTTCACGTTTTGTAATGCAAGTTATACATCCTTTTGAAAGGTTATTTGGAAAAAAATAGAAAATGGTTAAAACCAACAGCACGTCCATGTGTAAGAGGCAGAAAAAAAGTCCTAAAATTAGACCAAATTTAGAGTTTATACATATTTAAGACCTGGTTCTTGAATGAAATATTTCATTTTGAAATCCTCATAAGTCTTTTTGTCTCTTTACCAATTACCCTCAGTGTCCATATTGAATACAGTCTCTGCCCAGTGCTGCCCCCTATGGACTCACCCACTCCCCGATGCTGTTATGGTGCGTGCCGTTGTTCAGCACTTTGACCTCCTCCCACAGGATGCGGTGCTCGCCCCAGCGTCGGATCTGACTCCGAGTTTTAGCCGCGAACACGACCAAGATAATGAGGCCCACGACCACAAGGAAGCCCAACACGATGGCGATGGCCTGGGGAGAGAAAATGAGAAAGAGAGGGGGGTTAGTACGAAAGAAGAGGACTGTCCACACTCACCCCACTTTGTGGAGACTGCTCTGAAGGTTTAGAAAATGACTTCGTCAATTAAGTTTATGATTATTAATTATAATTAATAACTAATAAACCAAAGTTGGTTTATTAGTTATTGCTAAGGCAAGCTGGAGTTTCCCCCCGCAAATAAAGAAATCTGATTCTTAATCCAGATAAGAGCCAGGTATGACCCAAAATATTGAAATAGTGAGAGTGACACAAAAAGTTACTGAGCTGGAGGAGTTTACTTTTCAATGCAAGACTGTAGGAGCCAGAGTAAAACGTTCTCCATTAGGACTTCGCATTGTCCATCTATATACAGTCTATTGTTGCTATAGGCGACAGTAGGATCATGGGGCCTGGACTGTGGGAGATGAGTCTTACCTCTTGAGGCTCGACGACACAGTAGTGGTAGAAATACTGGTTGAGGAAGATCCCCTGGGCCTGGTCCTGGTTCTGGTACTGTGCACACAGCTGCAGGATCTGGTTGTACATCATGGAGCCGGAGCTCTGGGCCGTGGGGTTCACTGCCACCAGGTAGACGATGGTAGCGATGAGCATGAGGAAGGCCAGAATGGCGCCCACCACGATGGTGCCCAGGTAGAACTTGTGGCTGCGGGACGAGCTCTGCCGCGACACCACCAGGATGAAGATGACCAGCACCGCGATGAAGGTGATGCCCGCCAATCCAATGATGAAGCCTTTTCCACTCTTTGGATCCATGTTCATGTTCCCACCGTAGCCGCCGTAGCCACTTCCGCTTCCGTACGATCCGCCAGAGCCACCCGAGTACGAACCCCCACCACCGTAGCTGCCACCGAAACTGCCGCCGCCGTAGCCACCGCCACCGCCGTAGCTCCCATAGCCAGGCAGCATCCCGCCCATGCCCCCCATCATGCCCATGTCATAGTCCCAGGCCAGTGTAGAGGCCACGCAGGCGAAGATGGCCACGCAGAAGATGATGATGATGATGGAAAGGATCTTCATGACGCCCGGAGGAGATGTCCAGCGGTAGTAGTGCAGCGCATTCTCGTCTGGGTAATACGAGTAGGCAGGGTTCGACACCTCGCTGTGTTTGTGCCGGCTGCTGCTGTGACTGGACACACACACATACACATATACATATACAAATATATGTAATCTATCAAACACTTTTGCAACAGGGAGCAGTGAAATACCAACACAGGTGAAACGTCCATTTACTTCAGCAATTCAACTGGGATTGAAACTATGACTACTGAGAGACAGAAGGACACTGGAAAAACAGCTCTCCATCATAGACAATCCTACACATCCACTGCACCGGACTATAGAGGGGCAAAGGAGCTCCTTCTCAAACAGACTCCTTCAGCTCCACTGCCACAGTGAGCGGTACAATAGCACGTTCATGCTACACTTCATACTGCTATACAATAAGTCACCGCTCTGTGACAGAAGATTCATCAAAACAGACTTAAACTTTATCTGCTTTGTCCTTGTATATATTGTACATTGACAATGTTATTTTCTTACTCACAATATTATCTTATCTAATTATTAATTTCAGATTACTATTTTAAAGTCATTTTTTATTCTTATTGTGAAATACTATGCGAGCTACTGTGAGCACACAATTTCCCTTGTGGATCAAGTCTGTATTTGTCAGATAGCTTGCAAAAACCCAAAATAATAATTTTCTCAGAAGTTTAAATATTTTGAAAATGTCACTTAGCATGTGATAAGTCTATATTATACATTAGTTTTACATTTCAAGTTGAATTAATGAAAAAAATGAACTTTTGAACGATATTCTATTGTTTCACCTGTAAGTGCAATTAGGGTTTTAGGTAGATATTTCTGTGCAGTTAAAGCTGTAGTGTACAACTTTTCTTTTGCAAAATAATACATAATTTTATTGAGACAAACAAAATGTATTTCCAAAGTAAAATGTGATGAAAAAATGTACATACTTGTATGAAAGACACCTGTGAGTCACTGTTTGACTCTGGGTGAGCAGTTAAAATCAATAATATAGATTGATCAATGGCACCGACATCAATAAAACAAGCCGGTGCTCATGAAACTAGAATAAAGAGAGGGATTTAATACTCACGGTTTGCTACTGGAGTGTTTGTTGCTCGGCATTTTGAATTCTCACTCACTCACTTCTGAAAAACCAAAATAATCCATTGATACAGGAAGAGATTTAATACTAACAAATATGACATAGAAAAGTAAAATTGTGGCAGCATAAATCTGAAACACTGCCTCCTCATGTTTAGACCTGATTCTGGACACCAGCAGGACGCCAGTCCCTGTGCTCCTCAGAGTCCGACTGTGCACTAACATGTCACAGATGGACTTTGGTGCAAGGCCATGGAGAGACTTTACACTGTGAACATTCCTTTAGTAAGTAAGCAAGTAAGTAATCTTTATTTATATATATATAAATAAAGATTACTTACTTTAAAGTCTTGTCTCAGATTCATGGTTGGTTGAATGCCTGGTTTAGGCACCATCCCTTTGATATTTATTTATTTCAGTAAAAGGTGATGTTTGGATAAAAAAGCTGCTGGTGTTGATTGAACATGGGGAATGTAGATGGATTCCAGTGACGATCATTGACAGGTGCAGAGTGAGTCAGCTCTGAAGAGGCTGTGGTTGTTGTTGTATAATTGATAGCATTTTAAATACCTTTCAACATTTCATAAAAAATACTGCACACTCTTTGTACTTAGAAGTATAAATGGCTGAACCAACATACGCTACACCATTTGGACATTTGTTCATGTGTATGTTTGAAAAGTTGTTATGATTACTGTAAAATAATAGTCTCCTGGATGATAGAACAAAGTCATGATATTGTCTACACTGCAAAAGAGGATTGGTTCACTAAAAAACAACAAAAGAAGAAATATCCCTCATTTACAGTCATCTAGAAACATCCTAAAATGGCTTCCAGAACATTCAATGCATTTGAAGTCACAGTTTGACACTGTTTTTTTAATCCATTCAAACTAAATGTAACACACCACTCTTGGCTCTGGTGAAAAAACCTTTTGGGCCCAGAATAGTTTAACAAGTACTCTTTACCGGTAAAACTAAGGGGGGTAAAAAAGGCAAAGTTGGACAATTAAAAAAGACTGAAGTTATACAAAAAGGATTGACATTATTCCAGATACAGACGCAGTATAATTTCTGTCAGCATCAGCAGTAGCTAAAATGTTAGGAGTGTTTTGGGGGCCACGCGTACACATTCCCCTGTCTGGCACTGCACCAACCTTCACTTTCTACCAGAAATCATCCCCAATATAATATCACATCCAACTAGACATGTTTATAATTTAATATATTTCAAGCCATTTACATTTCCAACAATAGGCGTACAAAATCTATAACTATTGCCTATATTGGTATTGTTTTAAATGGAGCTTTTAGTGTCTGGAATAAAGAATGACATGACTACCATTGGCACATTCACCTAACTTCAGAATATACTATGAAAATGTAATAGTAAAATATCGAAAGAACTTGAATTCTGGATGTTGTTATTGATTGGATTTGTATTACTTGTAAAATTGCAGGATATTTTTGACACTTTTTAAGAAGCAAGATAACTGCTGTGGTAAGAGACGAGATAGATATGAGATATTTCTTACATATTTAGCAAATGTACTGTCTTAATTCAAAGTAGAATTTCTTTTAAGTGCTTGAATCGTCAAAGAAATCCCCATAAGCTTGTCAAAATATATTAGAATTATTAACTCAATTTAAAGAAACTATTATTTCAATGGTGGCAACTAGTTTTTGCAGTGTAGGCTCCACACACAAAGATACACAGATACCTTATTGCAGCTGTCCAAAAACAATCAATATTAAAAAAGAAATTAACTTAAAAATCCTCACACAGCAAGTGCCAAAATAACACTACGCATAAAACTGCAAACATCAGGAAAAAAACCGTAAAATAAATCCACTCTTTCAGCACTGACCTGTTTACGTTGTGGAGGCGTCGTGTCGTGTTGGGTGATGGAGTGAAGAACAAAAGAAGCGCGGTCACGACCTGTACGCGTTCCCGGCCTGGCCCCGCCCACTTGTGCAGGTGCAACTCGATTTACCTGTTCCTATGGTTCCCTCCTCCCCCTCCGCGCGCGCGATTCACGGAAACAGCCGAGGTTCTCCGAAGGGCGCGTCGTTTCGGTCTCGGTTTGATCACGAGGCCACAAGCTATGATAACAATAATAATACTGGTGTTTATGGCACATCCATGTATATGAAGTGTCCTAGGTTCGATTTCAACTCCAGGCCTTTCTGTATGGAGTTTACATGTTCTCCCAGTGTGAGCGTTCTTCTGGGTGCTCCGGTTTCCGCTACCACTGATAACATGTACTATAGGTCTGAATGAAATGAAAGAGTGAATGGATGGAGTGTGCTCGGCGTATCGGTTCTGTGTGGAGACATGGGAATTACTGGTACAAGATTTGTAAAACCCGTTGTGTGATCTTGGTTTGTGTAACGCCCTATGTAAATAAAGATTACTTACTTATTAGGCTTGAAGCTACAGATATTTTGGAATGTTTGACTTGAAGATGGTGGGCCTGATTTTCCTTCAGCACCCAAGTCACAATAATTTTCTCATACAAAGCATTTTTTTTACATCTGCGGCAACTTTGAAATCCCAAAAATATAGCTACATCACATAGTCCCCGCAAACCAATTCTTTTCTCTCAAAACAGTTTGGCTCTATCATTTCTTATCATTGAAATGTATAATATAATGTCTATGGGAGGCTTACATGACTGAGGGGCCTGTTGACCAGATTTTGAACTTCTCAGAACCACCCGTGTTCAATGGTTCTACAGTCCTGGATCTATAGACCATACTATAGACTAAAGACTCATTCACATGAGTGTCGAGTCAACAGAACACAGTCCAGACGCAAAACGGGTCGATCCAGTTTTTACGCAAAGAGACGGGAAGTGATGCAGAGAAGATACGCAGGCATTTGGGACATAAACATTTTATTGAACAAACATAACAGTGCTAAAAGTGTGTTCTGATACAAAATAAATGATCTTAATATAAAACCATGATAAAATACAAAACAAAGGCATTCATTTGTTTCAGTTCTCAAACATTGAAAAGTAGTTTTACTCACAGCCAAGACAGAATCACTTTCAAATATAAAAAGCTCAAGATAAGATACAAATTGAGTGAAATTCAAACTATACAGGGACGACAACTTAAAAACTACTGTGTCTTGAAACTTGTCAGATTTTTGCTGGATAAAAGACGCATTGACAATTTTTTCCTCTTTGTAAACATTGCCTTTAGTTTATGGACACATCCTGCGTCATTTGCCAAATCTCCGAAATATTTTTGCATTTCTTGTATGATATGTGCTATACAAGTATATTTTCTTCTTCTTGATACAAACTTTGACACATTTTTAGTAGAGAGATTAAAACCATTAAAACGAGAGATTCAATAATTTTCTGGTCTGAAAACATTTTTTGATTTGGTGTATGAAAAGAAATGTAGGCATAACATAATACACAATATGCATAGCCTGGATTTTTCTGGTTATTTTAAACGCCATCTCATTTTTGAACATTGTTACTTCCAAGTTTATTCCTGTTGTTTAAAGCTGGGGTACCTAACTTTCAAACCACAAATAATTGAACTCTGCAAGACCGTAGTTTCTTGCCTCGCACTATTTTTGTCCTCTGTCACATCTTTAGATCAAGAGAGGACCACCCTCACTCGGCCAATCAGCTTTCAGCCCAAACGGTCAAATAGTGACTCACAGGGCTGAATAAAAAAATAAATAAAAAAAAAATTCACGTTTATTTCCTGGTTACATAGAAATGTCAATACATTATTCTAATTAGATTCTGATTTGTCCATAACATTGTAATTGTATCTTTCTGTTGGGACAAACAACACATGATATTTACGAGAAAAAAGTGAGGTACCCCAGCTTTAAGTATATTTCCAATAGCCCAAGGTTTGTGGCCATTTCCTATTTTTTGACCATAGGTTTCAGCTTTCTGTTTAATGCAATTTTCTGAGGGCTTTTTCCCATTCGAAAGACAGTCAGTGGTGCTTCTTTGTCATCATTATGAAACGCATACATTAGACTTTTCGTAGTTTAGGGCAATTCCCTTTAGCTCACCGACATGCCTCGTACTTTCTCGTAGTTTTGGTAGTTTGTGGTATTTTCTGGTTGTCTGTGGATAACTCCTGTGCTTTATACATGCCTCCTGTCGTGTATGACGGGCAGGTCACTGCTCCCAGCCCGTGGACTTGTTGTACTCACTAATCTTTTGCTTTATATGCGCCAGTTTCTTCTTCAAGTATTCGCAGCGATCCATCTTCTCCAAAAACGCTGGATCCTGGAGAATTCAAATTTTTGTAAACATAATTCTTTTTAAAAACAGGATTGAAATATCTCCAGAGCTTCACTTACGGCTTTCTTTCGCTTGTATTCCCGGAGAATGTCGTTGATTCTCTCCTGTTCCTGAAAAAGGATGAGAATGTGTTTTCATAGAAGCTGTTGACACCGGCAGAAATTCTTTTGACTATAATAAGTTATATTTCAGCAGGCTGTGACTATAGTGAAAGTAACTGATCCAATACAAGTTAGTAAAAGAGCAGAGTGATGAGTCTGTGTGAACATATAAACATTGAACAGTCAAGACGCTGGCCTTTAACTGATAACTATTTCATTGACAAAGTAGTGAGTAAGAAAGGTTTTGTTTACACAGCGCCTTTCGCAGACCAAGACCCCAAAGCACTTCACAGTAAAAGCAGATTTAGTTTTATGATTCCAAAAATGATTGCGATAAATTATCACATTGAAGCATGCCCCTGAACAAGTACAAAACAGCAGGATTCTCTGAAAATCACTGACAAGTATAATGTACAATGTGTAAAAAAATATACAGAAGAATTATTTATTCAGCAGTAATATATAGACATAAAAAATAAACAAATCAAAGAAGGAAGTTTTTAGATCCATCCAGGAACTTCTTGCACAAACATCTGCCCCTTCTATCTAAAAACTCCTGTCTCAGTCCTGTGATAAGCCCCGTTTCCACCTACCCTACCCTACCCTACTCTACTCTACTCTACTCTACTCTACTCTACTCTACTCTACTCTACTCTACTCTACTCTACTCTACTCTACTCTACTCTACTCTACTCTACTCTACTCTACTCTACTCTACTCTACTAGCAACCTACCCACAACAAACCATTAACCATGGAAATTCCTTGGTAACCATGGCTTCCAGCAGCGCTCAGGCTAATCACTTGTCAGTAGGTACACTTCAGTACCAGCTCGGCCTGGATAGAACCATGTCCAAGAGGGTACTAAAAAAGTACCAGGTACCAGTTCAACCTTGCGCTATCCTCGAGTCAAACTACCCTAAATTATTATCTTTTCTTGCAGAATTTTTATGACTTTTCCGAACTTGACCAGCCCTAGAACATTTTAGGGTATTTTTTGTGGCAGATCATTTTGACCGAGGACAACACACAAGGCCGGTGGAAATGCTCCTAATCAGAGTAGAGTAGAGTAGGGCCAAGAAGGGCTGGTGTAAACAGGGCTAAAGTCTCACCATCTGACTGCCGGGTCTGGAGCTCTGTAGGCCCCTCATCATCTCATCCATCTCCTCAAACCTCTGGGCCATGACCTGCACCTCCGCGTGGAGCTCCTGGTATTCTGCGTACTGATCGTTAAACACGGCGCGGTACTTTTCCCTCTCCTCGTCTGAGTGGATACTCGGATACTTCCTGAAAAAAATCCACAAAACACAAGCTCAACCTATGCTCCTCTCTATTACACACATTGGTTCTTGACATTTCTTTTTGTTTTGGCAATATTCGGGAGAAAGTGAATGATAAAAAAAAATGGAACTCATTGTTAGTGTTTCTATTTATGTCAAATAAACATGTTTTCAACCCTGATCAGAAATCTCTATTCCCCAGTTCTCAATAGCTCTATGATAGCTCTGAGTCTTTTATGGTAATTGTGGATGATGTTCTGAATCCTCTCTGATCCCCAATGTTTTTATGTTTTTTTTGAGTCATTGCCGATGCTGAGGGTCTAAGGACAGTGATGATGATCTAGGACATTTATAATCATCTATAAACATTGAAGGACATTGCTCATCTGCTCTTTATGGACGGCTCTATGTGTTTTTTATCATTGCATTTCCTGTATTTGAACTGTGATTTTCAAATCTGTGTTGGCGAATTGACAACTTACAACTAGATACGTCCGTCTGATTTAGGGCTAGCAAAATTAAAATGTAACTGAATTTAGTTGAACACACAGATTGGCGCTAACAGAGCGTCCGGTCACACACATTCACACCACTCACGCCACGTAGTCTGCGATCACCACGGGTTTGGGGATGTGCCCGGCCGGGATGTGTCCGCGGAGGATCTCTGGCTCCAGGAGGGTGGGGGCAGCAGCGTGGCCGTCCATCAGGTCCGGCTGCTGCACCGTGGGGAGAGGAGTGGGGTCAGAGCGCTGAGAGCCACCGCCCAACTGAGGGGAGCGGAGAGAAGATGAGAAATGTACTGATGTTTAGGTAAAGTTCAGTCATTTTTATGTATGTACTGTGTGTTGGCTGGTTTGACCTGAAATCACTAAAATACATTGTAAATGTCGATTACTTAAAATTCTGAAGACGAGCACTTGTACCCATCCATGCTCACCCCAGCAGCTTCCTGATCGGTCAAAACTAATTAAGATCCTTGAGGCCCTTTGTTATTGGTTTAACTATTCTCCTCTAGTAAATCTTACTTATAGTAGTTATGCCAAAGGGAGGGAGTATATTCATTAAATCAAATACAAAATATACAAATATAAATTATTTTGAAAATGAAATAGAATTTGAGTTGACATCACTGATCAGGGCCCTGAGACATTTTTCAATCTGCAAAGGGAGCCATGGCCCAGACTCCAGCTGGACTATAGACAATATATTTTTTGAATCCTCAAACTTTGCAATTTATATTAATTAGTTTTTAAATATCTAATATTTAATATGTTTAAGAAAATATAGAAAACAAGTCTTTTTTCTTAGTATTTCCCACTTCTACGTAAGCAGCACAGTAGGGTTTGGAGAGAACTTACGATGGAAAGAGGATCAGAGGAGGCAATCGTTTTCATCTGTAACAGAAGAACACATTCTACAGATCTTTACAGAAAACAGATTAAAGAGACACATCACGCTACACAACTTTTTACTTTAAACTCTAGTATTACTGTTGTTTTCCCTTCACAAACCTCATTCTGACAGCACAGCAGGTACTGTCACCTTTTGCCTTTGTTTTCCAGCGTAAGACTTTATTCTGAAGGATTGCACTGCTTAAAGCTTAAACACAGACTCACCTCCTGACTGTACGCCTCCCTCCGCAGCCGCGCCGCCTCGTGCCGCCACAGTTTGAGGCACACGCTGGCGCTAATGAAGTACAGCAACATGGTGATGAACAAGAAGACGATAGCGGCATTTTGTCCCGCCTCCACGCGGCAGAAGGCCCCGTTCAGGCCGTTGTTGAACACTGGTATGTTGCACATACCACCGCGCGTTGTGTCGCGCACGTACACCACGCTGGCCGCCAGGTACAGCACGCCCAGCGCCAGGTTTATGGCACATTCTGTGAGAGGCCACCAGGAGGAGTCTAACAGGATAGCACGATAATACAGACTCATGCCCAGCACCACCAGGATCACCGTGACAATCCACGCCAGACCCGCCGCCACCAGCACAAAGGGAGTCATTGGGCCGGTGTAGGGTGTGCCGCTGGCCCCGTAAGCCCCGCCCCCCAGCCCGCCGTACATCTGTGGTGTGGAGTAGCCGTACATGTTGAACCACTCGTTGTCTTTGTGCACGTATGCGCAGACGCAGGCAAACACGGCCGCACCCAGCAGCAGCTCCACGCAGCCCAGGATGCGCAGAAGCCCCGCCCACGACTTCATGTAGGCGTAGCGCAGGTGGTACTCCTCCACGCGCTCGGCGTACGTCTGTACCGACGAGTTGGTGGGAACTTGAGAGACAGAGTCTATGGCCTCTGAGCCTAAGAGCAGTCCGTCCTTCTGAGACAAGTAGCTGCCCCCTGAGCCGCCGTACGGGTCGCGGCACGATCCCGGCAGTGAGGGAGAGGGAGGGGCGGAGTGTGGAGGTGAGCAGGGTACGCCGCCCGTGCTGTGACCGTTCTGAGACTTGGTGAGGCTTAAGGCTTTGCCGCTGCGCCCGCTGCCTCTGAAGAAGTTCTTGACAGAGTCTGGGATGAAGCGGCGAACAGGTTTGATGTCCATTGTGTCGCGGTCGGGCTCGCGCTCCTCGTCACTCGGGGGATAGAAGCTCTCAGGCCCCACAGGCCCCACAGCCCCCTGGCGTGGCAGAGGAGGGGGGGGCAGAGGGTCCAGACTCACAGCTGGCTGTACTGTGGGGGGAGGAGGGGGCAGAGAGGCCAGGCTCAGGCCAGAGGACAGTGGACCATAGACCGGGGCTGGAGGGGGAGGGAAGTCCCGGTACACCGAGCCGGCCGGGACCTGACAGGAGTGAAGTTAGTCAGTAAATACATGACTTTTGTCAATCAAATATGAACCAAAGATACCTCATCGTAAATGGGATATTCTCGAACCCGGTCGAACCTGGAGGCTACCGACATCTTCAACTCTGAGAAACACAAAGACAATTTGGTATTGAAAAAGTAATACAAGAAAATATTTGCGATTTATTTTTGCTTTAAAATGCTATTAGATCCTACCAGAGTATTCCAAAGCAGAGTCAGGCAGCTGTTGTGCTTCATGATTTGAATGAAAACTCTTTTGTCCTATGCTCCACTGAACCTGAACCCACCACCAAACACAACACTGTGCTACTGGGAGACTAAGTGTCTTTAGGGAGATGGGGAACAGTAGTGTCTCAGATGTTACACTTTCTACACAGTTTGTTGTGCGTGATCTGAATATGGATTTGTTTCCCCCATTTTTTTCAATTCATTTTTTAAAATTTTAAACATGGCCAAATCTAGGAGTGTCGTAGAACATGTACATTTCTATGTCCTTCAAATAGATATTATTCTCTTCAGGTTTATTCAGTGACATTTGATCCTGCTGAGGTCCTTTGTAACTGAAGCTCTGGCCCCTGGGGTCACTGAGTGTTTGGGAAAAACATAATTAAAACTCCACAAACAACAACAGCAGCAGCATAATGAAGCTGTAACATCAAATATTAAAGCTTGAATACAAATGATCCAAAATACTACTTTTGCTAGAAGAGTTAACCTGATACTGAGAAATTAATGAATAAATAATCGAATAAAATTTAAACAAGTGTCGTAGCCAAATGCAGGATATTGGCTATGATTTATGCATATATACATTTAGATATCACCCAAAATATAATAGTATATTATTCTAACTCAATATACCCAAACTACTTTATGATCTAACCTAGACAATTTACTCTTGCTCTGTGAAATAAAGCGAAAAAGTGTTTGCGTAATGTGATGGAAATAAAAGGTTCAAAGAATAATATATATGTTAGAATAGAACATAGAATATAACAAGTCCAGGTTTAACGCCCCACGGATGAATATAGTTGACAACAGGTGTGTAGATCAAACGCGATTTTTGTGCTCAAATTGACCAACATTGTCGCGTAAATGTTCCAAAACGTTGCGTCAATCTTGAGAAAAGTCAACTTAAAGATAATTTAGTAGAAATATGTGAAAACGTACCAGAGAGACGATGATTTAAGGCTGTTTTGGATCGTTTCACCTGCCGTCGTGTTGGTATCTCTTGTTAAGGAGGTATTCTCTGGCTTTACTTGGCATTTGCATGTGGCTGATCCTGGGTCAGTTTCAGTCTTAACCCCGGGAGTAGGCACAGGGCATCATCTCTACACTAAAACCGATCCCAGACCAGCAAATTAAACCAACCGGACCAGTCTAACCAGTCCAGCAAAATGACCCATAAGGGAACCAAACATACTCCGACGTCAGGGTCCATAACAGGGGACAAGGTGATGAGGGTAAACATAACTTGATATCGATCAGTTTTAAATCGTCACAGGTGATTTTTCTTAATTGAAAAGTAGTCGAACGATTAAAAAGAATAATTAAAAGTAATGGGCCGAGTTCACACGAGGATAAATTTATCCTTCGTTTGTCAACATTTACAACATGTGAATGGCCTTCAAAGGATTAACTCAATAAAAGTGTATTACCATTTTCAAAGGTGTCAATTTAATTTATTTGCTCTGCACAGGAAGCACATTTATGTTTTATTATTTTTTAGAAAAAGCGTAATTATAATGACGTTAGCTGTGCTTTCGTGAAAGATATTGTTGAACTTCAAAAACTACATTTCGCAACTTTTCTGACGGCATCCGCTATCCACTTGTCACCAAGAATATTTCAAGCCCCGGCGATCCAAGATGGCGCCCTATTCAAATGAACGGTTGTGCTCAGTGCTAATATAATACATCCATGGCTCACGTGGCGCTTTGTGACGGCATGGCGTTATTATAATAGATCCATGGAATATTTACAGTCTATTCTTAGAACGCTCTGCAGAACGTATATTATTAGTATTATTATTATTATTATTATTAGTGTTTTTACCACTCACCAATGCTGTGTTCGCGTTTTATTCATAGACTAAGTACGTTTTTGATTGTATTTTTATATTCGAATCTTGAACCTGCTCAACTGTATTTCCCACATGTCCGCTAGGCGTCAGTGTTTCACAAAAGTAAAGCAGAACCATTGCTCGTGTTTCTTGTTGTTCCCGCCCGGACTATTATCCTGTTGTACCCAGGCTGCTGCTTATGACAAAAGTGAAACATTTTCAACTATTTTCTATAAATTTCATCTACAGACGGTGAGGATTTTCAATATACTGACGCAGATCTGTGGTTAGAGCTCGAACATATTCACTAATGAGTTATTGAGGTTCTGAATGCTCAGAAATTATAATAAACGAAGAACTTTACTGACAGAATCAGTGGGCAGAATTATATATACACTATGTATATGGTCTTGTATTTACTGTACGTATCTTTCTTCTAATTGCAACTCTAAGGGTAACATGCTGCTATTGATTATATTTATGAATCAGTTTACAACATCACGTGAAGTAGATTAACCATTTAAAAAAAATATCTGTGCAAAATACCCAAATAGTGGAAAAATCATGAAAATTTCTACTCTTCTTTTGTTATGTAAAAGGAATAAACTGTTTTCTTTGATTTCAAAATATATCAACATACAAAATATTAATGTATAAATCTGCTTTAAAAATTTGTATTTCAGGCCAAAATGGATGAGGAGCCAGAGAGAGCCAAGCGCTGGGAAGGAGGCTACGAGAGGACATGGTTAAAACCTTATCTACGCTGTTTTATAATATTATGAAGTTAAAATGTTGTATTTAATATTTGCGCGTGACTTTCAGGGAGGTGTTAAAGGAGGATGAGTCCGGCTCGCTCAAAGCCTCTGTGGAAGAAATTCTGTTCCAGTCCAAAAGAAAAAGGTCTGATCAAATACCACAAAGTATAATAAGGAAAATGATATTAAAGATTTGGGTCCCAGTTCATTGTCTTCATTGCAGGGTGATCGAGAGCCATGGGCGAGTCCGGCTGGGAATGGTAGGTCTGATAATGCATAAATACTTATTTTGCAAATAAAAAAAGATTTTTTTTAAAATTAAAAATCTGATAGCACAATTATATATGTGTTATATGTGACATGGAAAACCTGCAAAAGTAAGTGGGTCGATTATTGTTTCCCAGGCTTTGGACAAAAGAGTGTAGAAAAACAGTTGGAATACAATATAATATAAACGTTGTTCATGCTTTATATTTAAAGATTTAGGGCAGATATCTTTGACCTTGGCGGTTCTGGTTATGACTAATAAAATAGGCTTATATTTGTACCTATATTGCCATGTTATTGATTGAGCATTTGCAGGTTTAGAAATTCCGTAAACAATGTTTGTCAATAGAAAAATTATACTACTGCTGCTATTGTGGCGGTTGCTCCTGCTAATAAAATGCATCAAAACTGAAAGAAGTCTGTAACAACTTATGTTTTCAGATGCGTCACCTGTTCGTAGTGGTGGACTGTTCCCGGAGCATGGAAGACCAGGATCTCAAACCTACAAGACTCGCCTCCACTCTGAAGGTCTGAACCGGAACTGAAGCAGGGGCTAAAACAGGGACTGAGGCGGAGACTGAGGCGGAGACTGAGGCGGAGACTGAGGCGGGGACTGAACCGGGGGCTGAACCGGGGACTGAACCGGGGACTGAACCGGGGACTGAACCGGGGACTGAACCGGGGACTGAACCGGGGGCTGAACCGGGGACTGAACCGGGGACTGAACCGGGGACTGAACCGGGGACTGAACCGGGGACTGAACCCTGATCTTCAATTCTTTGTTTCAGCTCCTGGAAAAGTTTGTAGAAGAATATTTTGACCAAAACCCCATCAGCCAGGTATTTTCAATCACAGGTTCTCACACTGCATCTAAGTACGTGTTTATGGAGGTTTTCTGACGACTGTGTATCGTGATGTTGTTACTTGAGAATATTTTCATAGATTTTTTGATTGGATTATTTATTTTACTTTATCATTTCTAGAAAGATGCTTACAAAACCCTACAAAGCTAATATGAAAATCAGTTTTGATAGACAAGTCAGCAAAACCGAACAACAAAACCCAGTCACAGTTTTACTCACTATAAAATGTACAGATACACTGCAGATAGATGTCCCTACTTCAAATGTATTTTACCGGTATAGGAGATAACTTGTAGCCTTGATGTTTTGCCCACTAGGTTTTTTAAGTTAGTGGTAGGCAGTTTTCTCTCAGTCCTCACTGAAATAATCAATTTATCCATTCAATCAGGAATTTTCCCAAGGGCTCTTAAAGTCGCAGTCATCAGGCCTCTTCTAAACAAAAGCAGTCTTGATGCCACAGTACTGCAAAATTATCGACCAATTTCAAATCTGCCATTTCTGGGAAAGGTACTTGAAAAAGTTGTTCATCAACAACTCATGGATTTTTTGTTAGTCAACAACATATTCAATGTGCATCAGTCTGGATTTAGACCGTCCCATAGCACTGAGACTGCACTAATAAAGGTGACTAATGATATTTGACTGAACACTGATGCTGGGAACACTTCAGTGTTAGTTCTATTAGATTTGAGTGCGGCCTTTGATACGGTTGATCATGAAATCCTCTTGGAGAGACTGGAAAAGTGGGTGGGTATTTCTGGTACTGCCCTTGATTGGTGTAGGTCCTACCTGCAGGACAGAATGTATGTTGTAGAAATAGGAGACTGTGCTTCAGATCATATGGCACTGACATGTGGAGTGCCCCAAGGGTCAATCCTGGGGCCTCTCCTATTTAATATCTACATGCTGCCACTAGGCCAGCTAATCCACAGAAGCAATGTGTCCTATCACAATTATGCAGATGACACCCAATTATATGTTTCATTTACTGCAGGGGAATATGGACCAATACATTCCCTCAGCCAGTGCATTCAAACGATCAGTGAGTGGATGCAAAACAATTTCCTTCAACTTAACTCAGATAAAACTGAAGTTATTGTTTTTGGCCCACAAAAACAAAGAGAAAGTATTAACAGTTACATCCAGTCTCTCTCCTTAAAACCAACAAATGAAGTAAGAAATCTTGGGGTCTGGGGACTCTGACCTTAAATTTGATAGGCACATAAAATCTATAACATCAGCAGCCTTCTATCATCTAAAAAATATTGTCAAAATTAAAAATATGTTGTCTAAATCAGATATGGAAAAACTTATCCATGCATTTGTCACTAGTAGGTTAGACTACTGCAATGGCCTGCTCACAGGTCTGTCCAAACAGGCTGTAAAACAGCTGCAGTACATTCAAAATGCAGCAGCTCGAGTCCTGACTAGAACCAGGAAATACGACCACATTAGTCCGGTCCTCAGGTCTCTGCACCGGCTTCCTGTGGCTCAGAGAATAGACTTTAAAACAGCTCTGCTTGTGTACAAGTCTCTCCATGGTCTTGCACCGAAGTACATTGGTGACATGTTGGTGCCGTATGAACCAACTCGGACTCTGAGGAGCGCAGGGACTGGACTCCTGATGGTGCCCAGAGTCAGGACTAGGCATGGAGAGGCTGCATTTCAGGTGTATGCCCCAAAAATCTGGAACAGCCTTCCTGAGGATGTACGGGAGGCCTCATCTTTAGCATTATTTAAGTCTAAGCTGAAAACCGTTCTTTTTAGCTGTGTATATGACTGACTTTTATATATTGAGCTTTTTATACCGTTTTTAATTCTGAAATTCAGTTTGAAATGTTTATTTTTATGCAACAATTATTATTGTTTTTGTTATTATTTTATATTACGTTTCATGTGTTTTAAAATGTTTGTAAATGTGTATGATCTTGTGTTCTTGTGAAGCACTTTGGGCTGCACTGCATGAATTGTGCTTTATAAATAAACTTGATTGATTGATAATCTGATTTAATGCAAATGACAGTGATGCTTACATTTACTCCACATATTTCTGGCTTTTTGTAGTTAAATGTCCTAATTAATATTGAAATGCTTTGTGTTCAGGTGGGAATCATTACTACAAAGAACAAAAGAGCAGAGAAACTGACAGAACTGGCAGGTGAGACCGCAGCAGCTCCAGTCAAATAACTCTTTGATTTTTATACAAATATTAATGTGAAAATAAATCCTCCGCAGGGAATCCGTCCAAACACGTCTCTGCTCTGAGAAAAGCTGCGGACGCCGTGTGTTTGGGAGAACCGTCTCTGTTCAACGCACTGAGCCTCGCCGCAAACACGCTCAAGTGAGAACCGCATCACCACATTCTCAACAAATTCAAACTTTTCCAAACATAGTCATCTTCTCAGCGGCTTCATTTTGTTTTACAAATCACTGGATAATTGACACGTTAATTTCAGAGTTATTACTTGTTAGTCTAACCACACAGACCCTTTTACACCAAGACAACTGCTGGATAATGGACTATTCATTAGCATAAATAATGAACGGGTCATTTGCATAAATACTATTCCCAATGTGACGAATTCTTTCCTATAATATTCACAGTCAATTCTTGTATCTTGTAAAAAGAAAAAAGTGGTTTTACTGTAAATAGCAAATCAATTCTTGTATCTTTTAGTCATCACTTCCAGTTTTTTCCAAATATTTGAGTCAGGCACCTAAATATAAACAATGTGAACATCAGGTCCATGTTTTTATTTGTTACATTTTTTATCTGAATTGTAGTTGAGGAAGTTTGTTTCTGTGCAGGCACATGCCGAGCCACACGAGCCGTGAGGTCCTGGTGGTGATGAGCAGTTTGACCACGTGTGACCCGGCAAACATCTACGAACTTATCAAGGTCTGTCTTATATGATATGATATAGTCTGGTGTTTGAGGGAATGATTGGTGGTGGTTGAAGGGGCCTATGGCATAGATTAGTAGCCTCGCTTCTGTCAGTCAATTCATGACAAGAAGGGGTCTTGTCGTGAATTCCTCTCTTTGCTCCAGTCTCTGCTCCAGTCTCTGCTCCAGTCTCTGCTTCAGTCTCTGCTTCAGTCTCTGCCTCAGTCTCTGCTTCAGTCTCTGCCTCAGTCTCTGCCTCAGTCTCTGCCTCAGTCTCTGCCTCAGTCTCTGCCTCAGTCTCTGCCTCAGTCTCTGCCTCAGTCTCTGCCTCAGTCTCTGCCTCAGTCTCTGCCTCAGTCTCTGCCTCAGTCTCTGCCTCATGTCTCTGCTTCAGTCTCTGCCTCAGTCTCTGCTTCAGTCCCTGACTCAATCCCTCCTCTCTCCTCTCTCCTCTCTCCTCTCTCCTCTCTCCTCTCTCCACAGACGCTGAAGTCCTTGCGTGTCCGTGTCTCTGTTATCGGTCTGTCTGCCGAGGTCCGGGTCTGCACGGTCCTGACCAGAGAGACCGGAGGCTCGTACCACGTGATCCTGGACGAGAGCCACTTCAAAGAGCTGCTGCTGCTCCACGTCAAGCCTCCGCCCTCCAGCTCGGCCGCAGACTGCTCCCTCATCCGCATGGGTAAGACCAGGCACACAGGCTTTGGCTTTCGGTGTTCTCGTCCCTGCTTACTCGTCCGTCTGTCTCCTCAGGTTTTCCACAGCACATAATGGTCAGTGCGAGTGACCAGGACGCCAAGCCCTCCTTCAGCATGGCGTGAGTATTGGCCCCTTTCCCGCGACTTCTATTTATTCATTTATTTATCATGAGCACAGTTCATGATAATTAGGGCAGTAGGCGACCAAAGAAGTGCTTGCTTGACTAAGGTCAATTACAATTGGTAATTACAAAACCTTCCTCTCCTGGTCCAGTTTCCGGGGCCTGAAAGCAAAAAAAATCACGGCCTTCTGACAAAATCAAATCTTAAGAGTTTAAAGACACCGCATAAAGCAGTAATTTGTGACCATGAAACATTTTATTTTGATCAAAAAGAAGACATAATATTGAACAAAAGGCATAAGGCTTTTGTTCAATATTCAGACTTCCTGATTATAAAAATTCCAAATCCCATGAACCAGTCTAGGAAACAGGTTTTTAACGAACCGAGTGTCTTTTAGCTACAAAAAAATCAGTTTTGTACACAATCATTTCATTTGTTGTTGAAAGTATTTGTTGTTAGCTGTACGTGGCGGATGGTTATGCTTAACCAATCAAAAGCCTCATAGTATGATCACGGGACTAAAGCATTCTTGGGCAAAGATCTCTCAGTTTTTGTGAGAGTTTACTAATTTTCTGAGACTAGAATGATCTAAAACTTGCTTTTTTTCCACGCTGACTTTGAGATAGCTTTATGATCACAAAGTTGGTTTCAGACATACCTACCTATGACTTTTTCCTTTCGGCCTCATCAAAATGTGGATTTAACCCGAACCCTGAAGCTCCGCCCACTTCCAAGCTCCATATTTAGGTCGACAAATTACTTTAAATTTAAACTATGCAAAACATCTAAAGCATCAGGAGTTCTAAGTATACAAATTCAATGAGTTAAACCTTTGAATCAAAAGTTTTACAGCTCTTAAAAAAACAAAATACAGTGTCGTACCTAAAGCATTGTTCTGTTTTCAGCCACCTGGAGAGTAGCAGCAGCAGTGGTCCTGGTTCTGGTTCTGGGCCTGGTCCTGGTCTTGGTCTCTCTCTGGGGGGATACTTCTGCCCTCAGTGTCACGGCAAATACACAGAACTCCCAGTCGAGTGCAAAGTTTGTGGTATGCAATTCTTTGTCTTGGGGCGCATTATCAGTTGGGGGAAATTATGCGTCAATAAGATCTGCCTTAAGGCCAACTCTTTATCTGTTTGGACTTTTTATTAAGTTTATCAAGTTTATTAAGTTTACTAAGTCCAGTCATTAATTAACTTTATCCATAATATCAGTGAAAAATATGAATAGTCTACAAATCATATACAAGTCCCACTTTAATTATTTTCCATGATTATGTCAGATTACTAGTTTAACGACTTTGTCTTGTCTCAGGTCTGACGCTGGTGTCGGCTCCGCATTTGGCGCGATCGTTCCATCATCTGTTTCCTCTGGAGGCGTTCACAGAGAAGCCGCTGGAGGAGCACAAAGGAGAGCGGTCAGAGACAATTTTTTAAAAACACGTTACCGTCATGTTACCGTCATGTTACCGACACATTACCGTCATGTTACCGTCACGTTACCGGCACATTACCGTCATGTTACCGTCACGTTACCGACACATTACCGTCACGTTACCAGCACGTTACCAGCACATTACCGGCACATTACCGGCACGTTACAGACACGTTACAGACACATAACCGACACATTACCAACGTTACGACACGTTACCAACACGTTACCGACATGTTAACAACACGTTACCGAGACGTTACCAACACATTACCGGCATGTTACTGTCACGTTACCGGCACGTTACCGACATGTTACACACACTTTACCAACACTTTACCGACACGTTACCAACACATTACCAACACTTTAACAACACATTACCGACGTTACGACACGTTACGACACGTTAATAACACGTTACCGAGACATTACCAACACGTTACTGACACGTTACCGGCACGTTACCGACATGTTACACACACACGTTACCAACACTTTACCAACACGTTACCGATACATTACAAACACATTACCGACACGTTACCAACATGTTACACACACATTACCAACACTTTAACAACACATTAGCGACACGTTACGAACACATTACCGACACATTACCAACACGTTACCGACATGTTACAGACACGTTGCACACATTACTTTATATGTTTTCACCGTTGCAGATTCTGTGAGGCCTGTCAGGGCGAACTCCGGGACAAACGCGTGAGTATTTTCTCATCTTTAATCAGAAAAGAGAAACAAAAACATTTGTGTGACATTTTTTATGCAGGCCTTTTGTGTTTTACTTTTATAACTTGTTTGCACCATGAGCCAAAGAAAATTCCCAGTTCATATCTGAATTCTGAACTCTGAAAAGCGCTTTGGGTGGCCTTGGTCTGTAAAAACGTGCTATATAAATAATGATTACTTACTTACGGCAATAAAATAATTCTGATTGTGAAAGAGCAGTATATAGACTTTTATACTAGAACAAGTGTCTCAAACTCAATATAGCAACTAGATGCATGAGGTTAGGTTTAAGAGATCATTTATTTTGTAATATTCTCCAGTGTGAGATCAATAAAGTCTATTATCTCACCTCTTTTGTCCCACAGTTTGGAAATTTCAGTGTTGCATTACAAGTTACAGACAGCAGGAATGAGGAGCACACAGCACAAGATAAATGAATGATAAAATAAAATCTAAAATAAAATATCTATCTCTTGCATACAAAAAAGCTAAATAGATCGGGTCTGGGTGAAGCTTGGCCGCATTATGTGTTTGTGCAATACATATTAACTGTATTGTAATTTTTCCCCAATGTGAAATGAGTAAAGTTACAAGATACAAGAATTTATTTGCCATTTAAAACTGCAAGACTATCCCAGTGTGCACCAGACATTACACACCAAAGCAAATGGATCCATGCACTCGCAATTATAGAATTAAACCACAAAAAACGTACTTGCTATAATACTTTAAACACCAGGATTAATAACATTTTCCCCTGCATTTCAATCTGTCCAAACTTCAGAGAAAGTAAACGTTTGTACAAGTAGAACAGAGAGACAAAATTGGCAAAAATAAGAATCAAGTGTATTTGGAAAGATAGTCTTATAATTCATCATTCATATCTGTAACTTTTCATTAAGGTATTTAGATGAAATATTACAAGTAATTGCTTATATGAGTATAATCATCTTTATTTATAAAACGCCTTTTACAGACCAGAGTCACGCCCTTTACAATTGTTGCGGTCATATCTTTATTACATATTTTCATGAACATAATGAACACAGCTGCTTGGATTGAAACAAAACTGGACCAAAAGCAATGAAAGCTCAGTGTAGTAGACTGCTGGGCTGAATAATGCTTACCTTGAATTATTACTCATAATATTTAGGGTTCAATGTTTATGATTGTGTAAATGGCATGTCTTTCTTGATACAAATTAGTTTTAAAACCATATACAACTCGCTACATTAGTCCAAGCTCTCGGTGAGGGTCGCACCGACATTACACTTTGATGTCCACTAGGGGGCCACAGAATACCTTTTGCAGGCTGCATGTTTGAGACCACAGTTCTGGTTAAAACATTCATCATATTTGAGTAACTTTGTATTTTTCTAAGTCATTATGGATTTGCAACGATGTGGTCTCAAAATGTACTGAGGAAATTTAAAATTTAAGTCACATAAAATGGTACAATTTGGTTGTAAGTATAAAACATGAGTACTTATTGCAAGAGGGCTCGCGTCTCTGCAAACATGACTCATTCACTCTGCTCTTGTTGCCATGGCAGTTATGTTCCTTTGGCAATTATGTTTTGTTAGCACAGGTTCATGCTGTAACTATCCATCATTTAGATGTTAAAAACAAAAAAAATTGTCTTAAAGAAATTTGAAGCATAATGTTTGGCCTTTCAAAATAATAATGCAACTATTTAGTGAAATAATTTAAAAACGCTTTCTGTCTGTAACTCCCTTAGCTGCCAACAGAGGGCGGAGTTGATTTTTTTATTTTTATTCTTTTTATTACCGGCTGCAAAACACGGACATGTGATTCTAAACAGAAACTGCCAAAACTAAAATATGGGTAACGCTGCTCTGAGAGAAGGGGCGGAGCTACATATTTGGTTGATTTTCCTTATAATTCCTCCTCAAAAACTATTACATTTGTATTCAAAAGTTTCCTCAAGTACCATAATTGCCAGGCTATTAAAGGCGCTACTTTTTTCTAGTTCTTGTAAATCCAGCAGCTTATAGAGCAATGCGCCTATTACAGTATTCGGCCCCCTTCAACTTTTCGCCACATTTCAGTCTTCAAACATAAAGATATAAAATTTTAATTTTTTGTCATGAATCAACAACAAGTGGGACACAATCGTGAAGTGGAACAAAAATTTTTGGATAATTTAAACTTTTTAACAAACAAAAAACTGAAAAGTGGGGCGTGCAATATTATTCGGCCCCTTTACTTTCAGTGCAGCAAACTCACTCCAGAAGTTCAGTGAGGATCTTTGAATGATCCAATGTTGTCCTAAATGACTGATGATGATAAATAGAATGTCTCTTTGATAGTCTCAGAGTTCTGTTTAAAGCGCAGAGAGAATCATGAAGACAAAGGAACACACCAGGCAGGTCCGAGATACTGTTGTGCAGAAGTTTAAAGCCGGATTTGGATACAAAAAGATTTCCCAAGCTTTAAACGTCTCAAGGAGCACTGTGCAAGCAATTATATTGAAATGGAAGGCGTATCAGACCACTGCAAATCTACCAAGACCCGGCCGTCCCTCCAAACTTTCATCTCAAACAAGGAGAAGACTGATCAGAGATGCAGCCAAGAGGCCCATGATCACTCTGGATGAACTGCAGATAACTACAGCTGAGGTGGGACAGTCTGTCCATAGGACAACAATCAGTCGTGCACTGCATAAATCTGGCCTTTATGGAAGAGTGGCAAGAAGAAAGCCATTTCTCAAAGATATCCAAAAAGTCTTGTTTAAAGTTTGCCACAAGCCACCTGGGAGACACACCAAACATGTGGAAGAAGGTGCTTTGGTCAGATTAAACCAAAATCGAACCTTTTGGCCACAATGCAAAACTATATGTTTGGCGTAAAAGCAACACAGCTCATCACCATGAACACACCATCCCCACCTCAGCTGTAGTTATCTGCAGTTCATCCAGAGTGATCATGGGCCTCTTGGCTGCATCTCTGATCAGTCTTCTCCTTGTTTGAGATGAAAGTTTGGAGGGACGGCCGGGTCTTGGTAGATTTGCAGTGGTCTGATAGTCCTTCCATTTCAATATAACCTGCCTGGTGTGTTCCTTTGTCTTCATGGTTCTCTCTGCGCTTTAAGCAGAACCCTGAGACTATCAAAGAGCAGGTGCATTTATGGAGACTTGATTACACACAGGTGCATTCTATTTCTCATCATCAGTCATTTAGGACAACATTGGATCATTCAAAGATCCTCACTGAACTTCTGGAGTGAGTTTGCTGCACTGAAAGTAAAGGGGCCGAATAATATTGCACGCCCCACTTTTCAGTTTTTTATCTGTTAAAAAAGTTTAAATTATCCAATAAATTTTGTTCCACTTCACGATTGTGTCCCACTTGTTGATTCATGACAAAAAATTAAAATTTTATATCTTTATGTTTGAAGCCTGAAATGTGGCGAAATGTTGAAAGGTTCAATACTTTCGCAATACTGTATTTGTATTTTCATTGTGGTAGAGTTGGGCTTTTTACAGAGCAGTTTAGGGACTTTTTATTTGACTCTTCCAAGTTTTAGTAGCGACAGTAAAGGCGACAGTGGCTCAGTCGGTAGAGGATTGGCCTTCTCCACCGACTCACACCGATGTCTGCTGTCGTTTTGTCCTTGGGCAAGACACTTTAACCCCATTTTGCCTGCAGCCCCCCTCTGAAAAATCAAGGCTATGCTCTCACCGACAGAGTATCCGTCCTCTTGTGGACTGACCACCTTCCGGTAGCATCAATGAGGGGCTGGTGCTCTGTGGATTAGGTGCTAGCTCTGATTGCCACCCACCCCTAAACGCAGAAATGGATTAAGGGCAAGAAAATGGATGGATGGAAGTTTTAGTAGCAAGAAGACACTTCTAGTCAAAATAGATTATCAAATGAGTCATTGAAGCCACGGTTAAGCTATTGAACACCTTGTCATTAAATTGTCTGTTACATTACAACACCTATACAAGATAAGATAGACTTTATTGATCTCACACTGGAGAAATGTACAATATATGTGGACCAGATGTACGTTCTTTTAAAATGTTACTGGTGCGTCTTATATACAGGTGTGCATAATAGTCCAGAAAGTACGGTAAATTTTATCGGATTTTACTTTCAACCCAATTGTTTCTCCAAATGTGACTGGATCCCATTTTCGCGGCAGGTTTTCCAGTGTTCGTTGTGCGCCGGCGTCTTCTGCGTGGAGTGCGACGTCTTCATTCACGACAATCTTCACTGCTGCCCGCGCTGCATACACACTCAGAGTGCCACCTGATGGAGCGAAGCAGCCAACGCACCAGGAGAAAACCAGAGAGACTCGAGAAGGCTCTGGTTCCACACCGACAAAGTCTCTCACTGAGGACTTGAACCTTTTAGATGGAGGATATTGTCTTTGAACCTGGCAACCCTAAGTGAGGAGTGGAAAAAGAGACTCATGGATTTGTTAGAATTCAGAAGTTTGGAGTCACTCGGACCATTGTATGTTTTCTATAACATGCAGGGATGGAAAAGATTCTGGTCTTGGGTACTTAAAGCTCGTGTACCTAACTTTTTCTGCATCATAAGTAATACAACATGGCAAGTTTATTTTTATAGTACAGTTCATGCACAAGGCAACTCAAAGTACTTAACAAAACAAGAAAGTAGTTGGACATTAAAAAGAGTAAAGATAAAATCCCTTCGTTGTATGCACAGCTAAACACAACAGTTTTTAACCTGGATTTCAACATTGTCAAAACAGAAGCCAGTCTCTCATTTTCAGGAAGTCTGATCCATATTTTAGCAGCGCAAATCTGAACCGCTGCCTCCCCATGTTTAGTTCTGACTCTGGGCACCAGCAGGAGGCCAGTCCCTGTGCTCCTCAGAGTCCCAGTTGCTTGATATGGCACTAACACATCTCTTATGTACTTTGGTGCGAGGCCATGTGATTTGTAAAGCACAGTTCAAACACAAGGCAACTCAAAGTGCTTAAACAAAACAAGAAAAGAAACATTAAAATTATAATCACGGTACAGTATTTTGTTGTATGTTTGTTTCAACAAAAAGAGTCCTGTGAAATTTAAATGCAGTGGACAAATCGGACCACAACATGCTGTCTCCAGAAAACATCTTTCGCGTACTTAAGAGCCCTCTTGAGTCACTATTTGATGCTTTGAGCTGATTGGCTGAGTGAGGATGGTCCTGTATTTTTCACTCCTCTGTTGTGAAAAGCCGATCTAAAGATGTGACAGAGGTCAAAAATACATGGGGTGAAAACTAGAAATAGAAGTAAGCTGTTTTGAGTGAAAGGAAGTTACACATTTTGTTTTCTGTGGTTCGAAAGTTGGTTAAGTACAAGCGTTCTTCTGTTCTTGGCTCAAAAAGTAAAATGCAATTTTTTTTTTTTACAATAATATATTTATTTGAGACATTTTAAGCATTCCCTTTCAAATACTTACTATACCGTTGTGAAAAATGTTTCATACTGGGAGAGAATGTGACAATAAACAGAACTGAAGCCAACAACAAATTCACTTAGAAGCACGGCTAGGCAAGGCAAGGCAAGTTTATTTATATAGCACAATTCATACACAAGGCAATTCAAAGTGCTGAACAAAACAAGAAAGCATTAAAATCATAAATTATCACAGAACATTAAAAAGAAAGATAAAAATATAAAATCCCTCAGTTGTATGCACAGTTAAACAGAACCGTCTTTAACCTGGTTTTAAACATTGTCAGAGAGGAGGCCTGTCTCACATCTTCAGGAAGACTGTTTCCAGATTTTAGCAGCATTAATCTGAAAAGCAGCCTCCCCATGTTTAGTTCTGACTCTGGGCACTAACAGGAGTCCAGTCCCTGTGCTCCTCAGAGTCCGGGCTGGTTCATATGGGACTAACATGTCACTAATATATTTTGGTGCGAGGCTATGGAGAGACTTGTACACAAGCAGAGCTGTTTTAAAGTCTATTCTCTGAGCCACAGGAAGCCAGTGCAGAGACCTGAGGACTGGACTAATGTGGTCGTACTTCCTGGTTCTTGTCAGGACTCGAGCTGCTGCATTTTGAATGTACTGCAGCTGTTTTACAGCCTGTTTGGACAGACCTGTGAGCAGGCCATTGCAGTAGTCTAACCTACTGGAGACAAATGCATGGATAAGAATCTCCAAGTCTGCTTTAGACACTATGTTTTTGATCCTGGCAATGTTTTTTAGATGGTAAAAAGCTGCTGATGTTACTGATTTGATGTGGCTATTAAAATTTAAGTCTGAGTCCAGTATTACCCCTAGATTTCTGACCTTGTTTGAAGGTTTTAGGGAGAGAGACTGTAGGTGACAGATGACGCTCTCTCTTTGTTTCTGGGGACCAAAGACAATCATTTCAGTTTTGTCTGCGTTTAGCTGAAGGAAGTTGTTTTGCATCCACTCACTGATCTGTTGGATACAGTGAAGGAGTGAGTCCACTGGTCCATGTTCTCCTGCAGTCAGTGAGACATAGATCTGAGTGTCGTCTGCATAGTTATGATAGGAAACTTTGTTTCTGCGTATTAACTGACCTAACGGCAGCATGTAGAGATTGAACAGAAGAGGTCCCAGGATCGACCCCTGTGGTACTCCACAGGTCAGGGCCATATGATCTGAGACACAGTTTCCAATCTCCACAAAGTACTTCCTGTCTTCAAGGTAAGACCTAAACCAACTTAGGGCGGTGCCAGTGACGCCAACCCAGTCCTCTAGTCTCTGTAAGAGGATCTCATGGTCGACGGTGTCAAAGGCAGCACTTAGATCTAACAAGATTAAGATTGAGACTTTGCCTGCGTCAGTGTTCAGCCGGATATCGTTTGTAACCTTAACGAGAGCAGTCTCAGTGCTGTGGTGGGGTCTAAAGCCGGACTGAAACATATCAAATGAGTTGTTGATTATAAGAAATCTAGTAAGCTGTAGGTAGACAACTTTCTCAAGGACTTTCCCCATAAATGGCAGATTTGAGATGGGACGATAGTTGTTAAGTACAGTGGCATCCAGACTGCTCTTTTTTAGCAGGGGCCTGATGACTGCAGTTTTCAGGGCCTTTGGGAATATTCCAGAATGAAGGGACATGTTTACTATCTGTGTGAGTGAAGGTAACAGACTGCTCAGAACAGACTTCAGAAATCTAGTGGGTAGTACATCCAGGCTGCATGTGGAGGAGCTCAACTGGAGATTATCTCTTGGACAGTTTTATCATTTACAGGTGCAAAGTGAGTTAGCTCAGAGAGCCTTTCTGGCTGTTGGATGGTTATCTGTGGATTGGAGACAATGGCGCTTTTGATGCCTTGAACCTTGTCATTGAAAAAATTAGCAAACTCATTGCATTTACGTTTGGAAGTAAGCTCTAATGGCATTTGAACAGGGGGGTTTGTTAATCTATTAACTGTTGAGAACAGAACACGCAGATTGTTGCTGCAGCCTTCAATCATTTCAGAAAAATACCTTTCTCTCGTACTACGTAGCACCCGGTTAAGCTCGCACAACTTATCTTTGAAGATCTCGTAATCTACCTGGAGGTTGGACTTGCGCCACTTCCGCTCGGCCCTCCGGCACTTTCTCTTTTGTGCCCTGACCGAGTCTGCTTTAGCCCACGGCGCCTTCTGCTTATTTTTCACTATTTTAACCTTCACAGGGGCAACGGTATCCAGAACATTCAAAACACTAGAGGTGACAGAGTTAAACAGTTCATCTACAGTAGAATACGATGCATTCTCAAAGTTTATCATTTCCATAAATAGTTCACTCGTATTTTCATTTATGCGCCTTCTTCGAACAGTTGCAGAGTCCACTGGTGGTTTGTTAGTGAAACACATGTCAAAAAAAACACAGAAATGATCCGAAAGAGCAACATCGACCACGTTTACATTTGAAATAATCACCCCCTTTGTAACTAACAGATCTAGAGTGTGCCCTCTGCTGTGGGTGGGGCCACTTACGTGCTGAGTGAGATCAAAGGATTCAAGTACAGAACTCAGCTCATTTGCATTTCTGTCATCAACATTATCCACATGAATATTAAAATCACCTGTAATAACCAAACTATCAAAATCTGTGCATACAACTGAAAGCAACTCGGTAAAATGATCAATAAAACTGTGACATGACTGCGGTGGCTTGTATAGGACAACGAAGAGTATTGGAGGAGATTGTTTTTGTTGTATTTTAAAAGACACATATTCAAATGACAAAAACTTCCCAAGAGACATTCTATGGGAGACAAAGTGGTCTCTAAAAATGGCAGCTAAGCCTCCTCCTTTTTTGTTTTCCCGTATTTCAGATTCAAACTTGAAATTTGGTGGTGATGCTTCTATTAAAACTGCATTTTCTGAATTTTGGTCAAGCCAAGTTTCAGCCATGAACATAAGATCAAGATTATGAGAAGAAATAAAATTATTGATTAAAAAAGACTTGTTACAAAGAGATCTGACATTAAGCGTAGCAAGTTTCAAAGTTTCAGTATCAGCGGTTGCGGTCGGCTGATTCTTACACGGAACAAGAATTAGATTTTCCAGATTAGACTGATTAACTCCAGATGTTTTTCTGTAATGTATTCTTTGTGTTATCACTAAGGGAATGGCACAGGTGGCTTCATGACAGGGCCCCAGCCGGGTCTCTCCTCTAACTAGACTGCCAGTGGCTGCGAAGCAGAGACCCTGTGCATCCTAGTGTTTAGAGAAAAGAGGGGTAGGGGAAGGCGGGGGAGGAGGATGGAGAGGTGGGTGGCTTTTGGGTGTTGAACGAGGGGGGCAGGGAGGTGGATGGGTTTTTGGTGATGGGTTAGGGGAGGGGCAGGCTGAGTTGGGTGGTGGACGAGGGGGGAGTGGAGGTGGAGGGTTTCTTGGTGCTGAGTTAGGGGGGGGGAGGTGGGCTAAATGAGCAGGAGGGGGGGGGGTGGAATACTTATGGGGTTAGAGGAGGGACGGGTGGATTTTGTGGGAGAATTTGAGTTGGACGCCCTAGGTGGCTTTGGAGGTACGTATGGGGAGTAGTTTTGAATGTTAGATAGGACTCTTGATCTGGCTACAGTGGGTGTGAGAGGAATAGTCTTCATCGCCGATCTTATCATGCCTGCAGAGTGTTCCGGTAAATCCAGTAGTGAAGGCGGGGATAGAAAACAAAGGGAAAGGTCGTCCTCATTTTCCCTAGATGGAGTGGATGTAGCGGGGGGGACCCAAGCCGGGTCCATGGAAGGTGATGAGGGAGTCTTTGGTGGAGACAGAGGTGGTTGAGGAACCCCCAGTACAGGCCTGACTGTAGCCTGGAGTAATGGGGGAAGCTTCACGGGAGCTGTAGGTGGGGAAGGTGCTGCTGAAGATGATGGAGCAGCCACTGCTGCTGCTGTATCCACTGCTGCTGGTGAAGATGATGGAGCAGCCACTGCTGCTGCTGAAGATGATGGAGCAGCCACTGCTGCGGCTGTATCCACTGCTGCTGCTGAAGATGATGGAGCAGCCACTGCTGCTGCTGTATCCACTGCTGCTGCTGAAGATGATGGAGCAGCCACTGCTGCGGCTGTATCCACTGCTGCTGGTGGTGCTGTATATGCTGATGGCGCTGATGAAGATGTGGCAGCTGCTGATGATGCTGGGGGTGGAGGCGTTGAGCTCTTTCGAAGCCGTGGAGGTGTTGAGTTCTTTTGGAACCTTGGAGGTGTTGAGTTCTTCTTGAATCGTGGAGGTGTGGAGTTCTTTTGAGGCGGTGGGGGTGCAGAGACCTCGGGAGTCGGTGGAGATGGTCGTGATGTCTGTGCCCTTTGCTTCTTCTTTCTCCCTTTCAACGGCTGCACGCGCTGCGCAGGCTGAGGTCTTAGGGCAGATGCAAAGTTATCCATCAGCACTTTTACTCCGTAGTTGTTCAGATGTGGGCCTTTTTCTTCAAAAAGCTCGTGCCTATTCCAGAACAGATTAAAGTTTTCAATGAAGCCAAGTCCTCTGCGTGAACACTCATTGAGTAGGAATGTGTTTAGCTGATACAGACGGCTAAACTTCTCAATTTTTCCATCTATATTTGGCAGTGGGCCACTAAGAAAAATTGTTATGTCCATTTTCTTGAGGTCATCCAGTAACAGCGTTAAATCCATTCGTAACTTCTCGCTTGCCTTCTCATAGATATCTACCGCCCCCGTGTGGATCAATAATGTACGCACACCACTGTTCTCAGATAACACTTTAGGCAGGAGAGTTCTTATCTCAGCAACTTTAGCAGAGTGAACTGAGACAGTGAGCATGGACTCCATGTTTACATTTTTCACCGAGCCATGGAGGCGCTGCAGTTTTTAGCAGCTTTGTTGTAGAGACTACTGCTGATTCATCTTCCAAAAGTGGTGAAAAGCGGTTTCTTGTAATTAAAGATTTTTGCTGTGGCATTATGACACTCTTGTTATCATTAGCTGCTCTTGTTTGGGCTTGGCACCATATGTGTTCCAACAATTGTCTCTGTTGATTTTGGGAAATGAAATAGCGTCATCATAACTTACGTTCTGTCCATGTGGTCCATTTCCTTTCACTGGTATTGTTGTGTTCAGCCCCAATTCTGATTCAAGCACAAACATTCGGTCTTGAAGAAGTTTTAGCTCCTGTTTGAGTGAAAAACAGCCGTCGCAAAGTTTTGTTCTTTCCCGTCCTCCCGACATGCTGTAAGTTAGGTAAATTCCACAAGTCTTGTGTTTAAGTTTGTAAAAAGGAGTAATCCGTGTTTTGTGGAATAAAAATGTAAGCAAAAATGATTAAAGGAGATAAAAAAGCAGCAAGCGAGGAGCAGCAAGAGAATGCGATTGCTCTGTCCAGAAGCAGGAAGCATCCGGCTAACCACTTCCAACTTGTTTCTGTGTTGTGTCGCCATCTGCAAAGGAACTAGTCACTCTAAAATGTAAGGAGGAGGAAGTGCAGACAAAAAAAAAATCAAAATGTGTCTGAATCTTTTTTCCTGGCTCAGATCAGATGATTCTGTAGATAAGGAAGACAGATGAGGAAGTTGCTCATTAGTTTGAACTTGAACTTGAACTTAAACTTTGACATTGTCTGTTTAGACGACTGGAGTGATGGTTGTTGTACATCTATGCTGGTATTCCACAAACTATGGCACCCGGGCATATTGCGGTCCTCAAACAAATGTGTCTGGCCCCGAAGCAAATGCATTTTATTAGATTTATTTTCTACAAATGATTAGAATCTCCACCAACAAAACAAGGAATGTGTTTACAAAGCAGAACGCCAAAAGGGCAGTTAAACGTTCAGAGGAGCTGGTGCGCGCCGATTCTACTGCATGTGAACGCGTCAATCGGATTGGAATGAGACATCGGGCTGTGACGCATTTTAAGAGCACAGGGAAAAGCCAAACTTGTGTTAGAAATGTTTGTATTTCGACAGGTGTAGGTGACTCACTCATGTTGCTCGATCAGTACGCAGTGACTGGCCTTTGCATTGTAGATAAGTGACACTAAATCAAAGAAGAAATGTAGTTTTAGACAGCCCTGGTCTAGGTTATATTCTTCTGTTGTACTGTAAGGGTCTCCTCATTTCTATGCCAAACCTGAATGTATATTTTGAATTTTTTAGTTATTCCTCTGTCTCTATGGTTCAAACACAACCCTTTTTATGCTATACAATGTTAATGTATTCCGACAATAACCTGTTCAGTGGCATAACCTGGGTTCATAGAATGAGTGGAGTCATGGCCGTTTGACCAGTGGGCGTACAGCAGTGACAGCAGTGATCTTGACTCTCTGCTTTGACTCCCAGGCGGATGGCGCACTTTTCTTTGTGGAGTTTGCATGCTTCTCTCTGTCTGGGTGAATATCAACAAGACACGCTCCATTGTGTGTGAAAAACCCACCAAGGACACCTAAAGATCACTGCTTGTTGAGAGGCTTGTCATTACTCATGCTGCAGAAGCCAGACTTCAATGTAATGGATTAGTTTTACAGTTAGTTAGGAGGCCGTTTCCCTTTGTAGCTTTTTGAAGAAATGGAAGAGTAGTTTGACATGTTTGGTTTCTCAGGTGCACTAATGTGTTTTGCTCCGGCCCATCTAAACTAGTCAAATGTGGACCAGCAGACCATTTAAATCCAAATTTGCGTTTCTATGTGGCTTCATGACTCTTTTTGCCTGAAGTGAATCCCTAATGAAGGCGGCCACTTCCCAACATGAGGCATTTATACCTCATTTTAAAGCAGATTTACTCACAGAATATTATGTTTTTCCAGGCACCCAAAATGAGGACATCTGGTCACCCTAGTACTAAGGTGCAGGGGTGGGTGAACACTACAAAAAGTATAAAAAATATGAGGTAATAAGTGGTTTTTATCCTTATTTGCGTACATTCCGATTGTCTTAAAACAAGATTTCACAATGAGATGAGCTGTTTAGTTTAGTTTCAGGAACTGGCAAATCAAAATGTGCTCAAATTAAGATATATTTGGCCAAATCTAAGTAATTTTGTACTTATTTTTCATCACTTTTTGCAGTGAACCAGTCCTCAAAGGGCCGGTGTGGCTGCAGATTCTAGTTCAAATGGCCCTTTCTGGAACCAGTTTGCCCACCCCTGGTATAGTCTTAGCACCAATTTTTCTCCAAAAGCATAAAACGTCACTCTACCAAAAAACTGGTAAATCTTTTTCAGCGTCCAATTGGTTGGTCGTAGTTGGAGAGCTCCTTTATCTGGTCGCTTTGCATGGAGTGGCGCCGGTGCAGAGTCTTCTCCACGTTCAAATCTTTGGGGAACGGCGACGCAAACGGCAGAAGCGATTTGGTGGAGGTGAGGCTGCTGCGTCTGCTGTAGCTCAAGGGGAACGAGCTCACGCCGGGAGGCTGGTTATCGAATAAGCCGCTCCCAGAGCTCACTCCGATGTGCGGGATGGGAGCGCGCGGGTTCAGCGGCGGCAAAAACCCCGGCCGTGTGTGCGTGATGTGGTCCAACAGCAAGGCGCCGGACCCTCTGCGTTCGAAAAGCGCTCTATTTGCTCCAGGCTCCTGAGAACACGCGTTTACGGGTTTCCGTCGCTCCTTTCCGATCGCACCAGAAGTCTTTGCGCTCTCGAACTGCGGCAGCTGAGAGTCAGAGTTGTAGTGTTCAAAACGGCGCAGACAGATCACGTTCTTCAGGGTGGAGATAACGCCGCCCTCATCCGGTTTGAGCGTGTCTGTTTCTTGGTGTAAATTGGGGTGCGAGGCGGAGTGTGCGGAGGTGGTGGCGCTATCGTACGACATCTTCCTCCCTAAAATCCTCTTCCTGTGGCCAGAAGACTGGAGCGAGCTCAGAGGGCCGCTGCAGTCTCTCACGTCGATGCTGTGGCGCCGACAAAATGGCCGCCGCTTTGTGTCCTCAGAGTTCGACGTCGATCCCAAATCTGCACAGACACAACATCAAATTTAGCTTCTGCAAGCTTCATCTTTAGCCACAATAGCTTTATTCGCGAAGTTTTGTCATCTGTTGGACAAGTGACGTCTCTCATTAGTAGCCAAATGGAGAATTTCCATATAAACAAGCTGGGGCCAATTTCATTATACTGGTTGCTAAGGAAAGCTGAAATTTCCTCCGTGAATGAAGGCATCTGATTGGTCAATCCTTATGGCTCATATCTGGATTTACAAAGACAATATAAAAATAAAAACACCAGGATCATAGATGGTGCTAATGTGATTTATTATTTAATTTTTTTTAGTGCGACTCAAACCGTAAATGAGATAGAGGAGTTTACTTTTCAATATAAACTTCACCCGTGAGCACTTCCCTATTGGGCTTAATTGGGATAGCGGGATAGCATCGTCCATTTACATACAGTTTATGGGCCTGGCAACCCAAGAGACAATAAAGAGCAGCACCGGTCCATTCAGAACTTCCTGCTCTCGGACTCAAGCTAAAGCCGAATTCGATTACAGAAGGTTAAATCCAGCACTGAGGCCTAACGACCAAAGACAGACGAGCGAATTCACATTGTCCATCTATATAAAATATTTACAATCTATTCTTACCTGTCTGTGCTGTAGTACCATGCGCATCCAGCAGAGGGCTCCCAGGCCGAGGAGTTGTGCTCGCTGACGCCCCCTGTGATGGAGAGCGGCACTCATTCTCAGAAGAACAGAAGTGCGACTGATCCAGTTTAGGGCTGCTCACAAACTGTTTACACTGTGACACAAACCAAAATATTATTTTTGTGACGCACAAGAAGGCATCTGACCAAGATACACATACAATATTCGATATCACTTTACTTTATATACAACTATATTTTTCTTGCACTAGAATATACAGTATTTTAAACACTCTTCTTTATTGTCCTAGAGATCGAGACTTTTGTGCTTAGTTCTTGCTTCTTCATGATTCTAAAGTTAGTTTTAGATTTAATTCTTTTTTAGTATAGAAATATTTTTGCAGTGCAAGACTAACAAAAACGTTTAAAGATATCTTAATCTTAATCTTCACCACTTTATTCCACGACTACCTGCTGGCCCGTGGGGGAGTTTGTGGTGGTGATGATGATGACCTCTTTGCCTCGCTCTCTGCAAGCGTCCACCAGGAGGCGCAGCGTGTCACGGTTACCAGAACTGACGGCGTAAACAAGTGCAGAGGAGCCGAGGTGGTCAGGGAGTGAGGGGTCCGCACCACCGCCCACGAGCAACGCCAGGGTCTGCAGCTCCACAGCCTCCAGCACTGCATGGATCAGGGCTGTCTTCCCCGATTTGTCCTGGATGTTCGGGTCAGCGCCGCATTCCAGGAGATATCTGAGGAACGCAGTCAGAAGTGTAATGTCAGTAAAATTAAGTGTACGAGAAAAGCACAAGCTGCATATGAAGACACTTTGCTTGGAGAAGTATGGTAACTTGAGCATGGTCCTCTCTTCTTTCTACTTCATCTGTCATCATTATTACTTCCGCTGTAGTTTGTTCTTTACTATTCACCCGGTGTCCAATTGTCTATTTCATATTATGATGATGGGGGCCCTGAATATTTCAACTTTCATGTGCACCTGTGGACTGTCTTCCATGGCCCGGACTCGTGGGCTGCACCCCTTCCCCGCCTGGGAGCCACCTCAGTCCTACACCGCGTGGCCTTGGTCCTCATTCTACAGCCTAAATACTGGATCTATAGCCCTCATTTTTTCTCACTGGGTTTTTTAAGTTGTCCCTTGCCAATTCAGGAGGGTCGACAGTGATGATGATCCAGGACACTCAACAACATTTATTTACAGAGCGGAGAAGGGCGTGGTCTCTGAAAAGTCGACTGCTGAAACATGTAAGGTCTCGTCCTGATCCAGTCCTCTCACCGGACCATCCTGTGACGGGGGGTGCTCTGGGGGTCTCTGTGGGCGGTCCGGAGAGCCACCATTAGGGGGGTGTGGCCTAAACGGTCGCTCTCATTCACATAAGCCCCGCCCTCTAGCAGCAGACGGGTCAGACGCAACCGTAGCAGGGACACGGCGCGGAGCAGAGGGTTCCAGTCCGGCAGTCCGTCCTGCAGCAAACACTTGTCCATCTGGAGAGAACAGAGGATTAAGCAACACAAGTGACTCAACTCTACACAGCTAATTTGTAGAGTTATATATAATATAATGTTATATATAAATTGAGGAGGGCTCAGGGACCTGATGGAAACGTCCAAAGGGCCGCATCTGGCCCGCGGACCGGGGTTTGCCCACCACTGCTCTATATCAAGAATATGTTGTCAGGAATGCCACTATATCCACTGTCCTCTTCAGACTCTCACAAAGAGCTTCTGTAGTGATCCATCATCGACTTTCCCTCTTTGTTGTCTGTTTTTGAGGAGTTGACCTTTCTGAACAGCAGGGGGCGCCTCCCGGTTCAGTCTGAATCACTAATGATCCAAATGTCACTGCTCCAGTTTATATACACACTGTAAGCTCCCATCACGAGCACTACCCAACTTTAAATTATCAAAAATTCTTCTCTTTCTTGTTTTGAAGCTCCGGGTTTGAAAACTTATTTAGCCTCTATCAACAATTTAAAACAAAACAAAACATTTAAAATTCCTTCAAACAATCTAATTTAAAAAAAATAATATTCGTTGATTGGCAGACCCCTTTATGTATATGTATGCATATTGTTTTTCTTTGTTGTAGAGATATTTTAAACGTGTTTTTGCACACTTTGAATAAATAAAATAAAAATTATGCAACTTTTAGACAGATCTCAAAGTGACGAGTATAGTTGTCATACACACTGGATTGTGTTCAAAGTGTAGTTTACTTGAATGTATATAGTTTGTTTTAATAGTGTTGAAATGTATGATCATTATCCTCATTCTAGCTTTAGTTTTTATTCAACTAATATTATTACGTGAATTAATTTCCCACTGACGGGCTGCAATGTTGAAAGATGAACAATGAAACACAAAATACACTATACATTTACACACAGGTTAAAGAATAAGAAAATGTGTTGTTTGCAAAGGGCGGACTAATTGTTAATGAGACTAAAATGTGATTTTGATCAACTTTGGAAAGGCTAAATCCATAAAACTATTATAATACATGCATGGCTACATATTGGAGCTCTTACATGTATTCTCATTGTAAAACACCAGACAAAAAGACTGCATTTAACTCGTCCACTCACCTGAAGACTTGTCATTTTCCTCAAATATTATCCATGCTGATCACCTCGTGCAGAAAAAAGAATGGTAGGATCAAACTCTGAACCAGGTCTGAGCCAGGTCTGAACCAGGACTACTGTACATCCACCTCATACGGGAGAGACAAGCTTATCAGACGGCAGCGTTCACTCACAGGGACCAATCAGACGGCTGCATTCAGAGACTCCAAGTCCAAGGCCGAAGCAGAAACTTGGTAAAGAGACGCTGCTGTTGCCATAGGAACACGTCTGCAAAGTCCACAAGAGTTCTGGAGGACATGAAAGGAATGAAATCTCAAAAAAATGGTCTGTTGAGGAAAAAAGGATGGACGGACGAGAGGCAAGAAGTCTGACGTCCCATTCATAGCATCAGCCGACCAAGAAATGTCCCAGGATCAGTGTTTATGTGCAAAAATCCAGACCTGTCCTGAGAATTCATGTATAATGCATTTAAAGCTGGTGTATCTAACGTCCTTTTCGTTTAATAAATACTTTTTTTGTCCCAACCGGGTCAATATTAAACATAACGCGTCAAGAAATCAGACTGAAGCATGCTCTTTATCTTGGAAAAAGAGCTATAGATTAATGGGTTACTTTTCTTAATTACTTACAACTATGTGAAGGAAAATACTTGAAATGTCTGATTTAGCATTTAAGTCGTTTTAATTATTTATCCAATAAATATTTAATATTAAAGAAAATGGATAAAGCTGAGGTTTATACTTGTTTGTTCCAACAGAAAGAGCCTTGTAATAGTAAAATTCTGTCATAGCAGAAAACAAATCTTGGAAACAGATCTTCAAATAGGAACAATAATAATTTTGGTGTTATGAAACCGGTTAATATATTTGATTTTTTAATGGTTTATTGATTGCACATTGTACTGAGATTATACAACCTTATGGTAATGTTGCTAGTGCTGTATCGGTGTGATAAGCCTTGTATGTAAACCTTCTGTAAAAAACACATACCCCAGCTTTAAAAAAACATGTCCACACATTTATTGATAAGACATAAAAGCAGCAGTTTGAACAGAGCAGGAGCAGAGGACTCGTCAGAGCTCCTGGACGCTCTCGTAAACCTGGTATTTGTACTGGACTCCGTTCTCCTCCTGCAGATCTGACGAGACTCCGGGAAATCTGAAAAAGGAGAAATGAGCTGAATTTGTTCAATTAAAGGAGTTTTATGGGAACAACACTATATGTTCAAACAACAACTGCATTCAAGAGGGACAGCTTTTCAACAAGGTACAGCATGTAAATATACACCTCAAAAACTAAGCAGGGGCAGGGCCTGGTTAGTACTGTGATGAGAGACCTCTGTGAACACCAGGAGCCACACTGAGGCTGTGAAGTGCCAAATGGATTGTCTACTGTCTGAATGATTGATGGTGGTCGGAAGAGCCGATTCATCAAGTGACCATAATTGAATTAAATTACTGAAATTTCTCCGCTTTGGGACGAATAAAGGATCTCTTAATCATTACCTACAAAGAAAATAACATGAAAAGCTAACTCATTTTAATTTCAAACCATCCATCCATCCATTTTCTACCCTTCAATCCACCTCTGGGTCAAGTCTCACAGCACCAGCCCCTCACTGATCCTCCGCAGGTGGTGAGTCCACAGGACGGCGGCCGCTCTAAGTGTGAGCATAGCCTTGATCTTTCAGTGGGGGCTTTGGGCAAAGTGGGGTTAAGTGTCTTGCCCAAGACACCTAACCCACCTAACCCTAACCCAAGACACAACGACAGCAGTCATCAGTGGGAGTCGGAGAAGGTGTAGAGGTGGGAATTGAACCCACAACCTTCAGGCCTGAAGGCCAATGCTCTACCAACTGAGCTGCTGTCGCCCCCAATTTCAAACCAAATTTCCACAAAATAAAGCAATGGATAATTTTAGTACAAAAGTACTGAGTTGGACCAACTTTTTAAAATTCAGCTCCCGACAAACCTTTGACATCCTTGCTCTATGTTGTTACAGAATCAACAGAGCCTTTTGGGAAGGGAGGCAGGATAGGAATGTGAAAAAATGTTCTGGTATTAGCGCCGATGCAGAAACAATTTATTTTCTGCCCTAGACGAGACACAAACGATGGTTATAAAGCTCAAAGGAGGTCATTTACATCACAGGTGACATCCTCCTCTAATTGATGGATCATAATCCCAACACAGAGACTGGACTCACTGTGGAAGCAGCTTGTATTTGTCCAGACTGATCTCAGGGAGAAACGTGTCGCACTCAAACTGTTTCAGGATCCTGGTGATGAACAAACGCTTTGGTCGCGGACTCTCCATCATCTCCTGCAAGAGACGGCGCATTACCACCACCTGCTGGCTCCTTATAGTACTACTAGTTTAATCATGACTCCTAAAAACAATGGCGTGTAGACCTTTCAAAGATTTAATGGTATAGAAAGTAAAAGTATATTTTCACACGGACACCAACGATAATTAAAATCTATAAATCATTATCTATTTCAAACTTGTATGATTTGAACATAAGATAAACTTTATTGATCTCACAATGCAGAAATATGCATAGTATTTTTACATAGTATCATTTTTAGTGGTTTGAATGTTAGACACCTCGGCTTTAATTTGAAAGTTAAATTGCAACTAATAATAATAATACATTTTATTTATATTGCACCTTACATTTCCAGGAAACCTCAAAGTGCTAGCTAGAAATGCTAACAAATGTGCAAACAATTATTTATATTTAATGCTGCTCACAACCCATTTGAGCTCAGTCTGAGTTCAAAAACATGTCACAAGGCTAACCACTCTGCTCTGAGTACCTTGTAAAGGGAGGAGCCTCCAATGACCCAGATCTGGTCTGCGCTGTCCGCCAGGTCGTTCTCAATAAGTTTCAGGGCCGCGCTGAAGTCTGAGGCCACGTGATGTGCTCCAGCAGGGGGCGCTCTGTGGAGGACACAGGACTCCACTCAGCTTTAGTGAAAACCCAAGTCTCCACCATCTCCAATTTAATCCAATAAATAAAGATGCATGTAAAGCTGTACAAGCTGGTGCAGATTCTACTCTGGTTGAGCCCTATGTAAAACAACGGGCAGTGATGCATTTAAGAGCACAGGGAAAAGCCAATCTTATAGTAGAATTGTATGTATTTGGACAGGTTTGGGTGACTCTTGCTGTTCAGGATCAAAACAAAGTCCCTCACTGACTCCCTTGCTTTGTTTTTTTTTTTATGCAAGAAGACTATACTCATGGTGCTTTTAAGAGCTCTGTGATTTCTGCTGCAGCAGCGGAGCATGTAAACATAATCAAACATAAATAAACCTAGTGTTGTGTTTGCCAACAACACACGTAACACATGTATAATAGCAGTTTTATTTACGATTTCGGTTCAAAGTTTGAGTAGTAAGGGGGAGTCACGAGACGTCACTGATAATGATAATTGATAATTCAGCAATTTAAGTGCGATTTTTTAAAGTACACTGACTCCTCATGCTTTGTAAACACACTCATTCAATCCCGGACCAGCCTCAGTCCTAGTCGGGTCCTGATCCAGTCTCAGTCTTGGTCCAGCCTCAATCCTAGTTGGGCCCCAGTCCAGCCTCTGTCCCAGCCCAGGCCCACCCTCAGTCCCGGTCCTACTTGAGTTCGCGGCTCAGGACTATGTTGATCCGGTTGGCCAGAGGACGGTTTTTCTCTGGGATCGAAAACCAAGTCTTTCTGCCCATCAGCACCACATTCTGCTTCCCTGCAACAGAAACAGGACAAAATCAAACAGAAAAAACATGAATATAACATAAAAAAACAGTTTTCCTTGAGCTGTTTAAGCTGCTGGATAGCTGTTTTCCAGTGCAATCATGTTTACTGTGATTCTTTAACAAGGGCATATTTGTTTTACCATCTTTTAAAAATCTATAGATCGTCCATAGTCAGCTTCACAAGAGCAGATCATTTACTTCCAATAAAAATAAACATCATGTGTCCACTTTTCATAGTTTTACAGACTGGACTTTACCTTCTTCAGACGGAGTGGATGTCATTTTCCGGAAGTGTTTAAACTCATTACTGCCAAATAAGAAAAAAAACAGGTTTAGATTTATTGTCAGTTTAAGGCACAATGTTAATCACCACCAAAACACAACATTTCCAAATATATACAAACAAATTACGAGCACTACTGTCTACACTCATTTTACATCACATCTCAATCAACAATGTAATTCACAATATAGTTTTGAGATTAGAGATTAGATTTGTTCAGTGGTTTTGAATAATGTTGAAGATCTTGAACTATCCCACCCAATGAATCAGTAATTACATGTTCCATTGATTCAAACTGATTATATGTCTTGCTATAGTCCTGCATAAGCCCCAATATAGATCTACTTTAGTCCTTTCATTAGTCTCGATATAGACCTGCTTCAGTCCCTGCTTCAGTCTTTAGTTGAGTCCCTGGTCCTTACTTGAGCCGGGGCCAGGGCAGGTCACCGCTCTTGCCGATGCCCAGGTCTGGACATGCGGCTACGATTCCGTTCAGTGTCCGTGACATGGAGCTCAGGGACCGGGGGACTCTGGAGGAGGACGTGGTGATGTTCCTCAGTGTTCTTTCCCTTTGCTAAAACGCTCTCCACAGTCCAGAGTCCAGTTCGGTAATGTTTTTATTATGAAATGTTTCGCGCCACCACAGACAGGAAGTACTTCTACGCGTTGGTTGTTTTTTCCCCCTCACGACAGATATCGGTAAATATCAATTTCCCCCAAAAAAACTGGTTACATTTTAATTATTATATTTCCATGTGCAATAGGGGAACAATTTAGGTTTATAAACGGTAAGTAATATGTCCGGGTTAAAGAACTTCTAAAACTAGTGCAGCGGATAGCATTGCGTTGGGAAAAAATCCTGCTTTTTAAAAAAGTGATTTTTATTTAAAATACATTATTTACAACAGTTAAAGTGATATTTATACACAGATAATCACTCCAAAGCGAATAGTTTATTTCTAAAAATAGATGAAAATGCAAAAACGAATGTATGGCGACTACTATAATGAAGTAATAACCAGGGGTGTCAAATTCGTTACAGAAAGGGCCATGAGGCTGCAGGTTTTCATTCCAACCAGGGAGGAGCCAGAGATAGGTGGAGTCTTATCTACTCATGCTCGGTTTGCCTGTAGCCACACTGCCCCTTTGAGGACCGGTTTTACATTCAGACAGAAATTGCATTTTTATGTGATGTCTGGCAGAGACCAAAACTCACAGTTGATAGAATCAAGCATGACAACATCTCATTTTCAGGCTTCTTGAGGCTTGCTATTGAGTAAACCAGAGACTTGTTTGGAATGTAGACCTATATACAGTATATGATAAAGATATTGGCAACACAAAACACCATAGAACAAAAGATTTTTTTTTTAAAAACATGATTTTATTTAAACATAATAAATATTTAAAGAGTTTCATCGTTGGTATAGACTTCAGTTAAAAAGTTGCATTTGTTCAATTTCATAGAGTTGTAAAAGTTAAATTAAAAACATTAAAAGACGTTGAAAAGTTCAGTCCTCATCTGGATCGTCAAAGGCCACTCCAGTCGCTTCCCGTTTTCTGCAAGTGTCAGATAGATATTACTTTACAATATTATTGTTTAGATTGTCTTAATATTCGTGTAAAGCCTGGAAGAAGCGGTATATTCATTTATTTAAATGAGAGCATTTGAGTTTGGATATGTTTATGTACCTGATGTTGGCCTGCGTCTGTATTCGAGTTAATAAGCCCATGTGGGCAGGGCATCATCGTATGCAAGACACTATAATCTATAAATTATCTATCTATTTTATGTCTAAGTGTACACAGAGGTATACAGATTATTTAAACAGATGGAGGGCGGTGATTGTGCCACAAGTTCCTGGATGGAACTAAACAGAACATTCCAATTATTCATTTTGGGCTTGATGTTTGTACAGAGTGTGATGGAGTTGGGAAGTAACCGCACATTGAAGACTTTAGAGGTTTTAATTAAAGTCTATAGCTTTCGAACTATGTCATATTGGTTTGTAGCTGGCTATCTGATGGCTCACATGTACCTGACTCATGAATGACTCACTGTAAATCAGAGAAATATTAACATTGGCCAAAAGGGTATGTAGGGATTCAATTTACCCATCTACTTTGCATACTATGCAGACTTATGGTGGTGGTAATCGTAGATGTTAGAATTGTCATCTTTTTTCTTTTTTTTTACTGACAGACATACAAATCACTAGTACATGAAGATACAAACAGAACTCACATTGTATCATGCTAAATGGTTAATGATGAGCTCTCTCTCTTCTAACATACGTTTTATTCTCTACAAGGAAAGGTCAGGTCACTTTGCAGCTCAATTCTAACATTTTTTTGTCCACTAAACAGTATCAATGTTATTGTCATTTGAGTCAGGAAGCTTTAGCTCATTTGGTTTCAAGTTATATAATTTTTTTTCTCTTCAGACATACTTTTTGGTTCCCGGGTTGATGAGGGACGATCCTGGAACTCTTCTTTTTGCCGTCACACATGGGGCGCTGTTCTGCTGCCGGGGCTCAAAATCTACAGATAACAAAAATAGATTGCCATTTTCTGTAATTCATTGAGACTTCTTGCAAGTGGAGATGGGGCTTTTTGCTATTTCGTTTTAGAAGTGTGTGTGTTGTCGTGGAATCTATCTACAGTGAATGCTTTTACCTGGTGCTCGTCTTTGATTGTTCTTGACTGGCGTTGTCGTTAAAATATCACCTGCGACAAGAGTAAAAACCTTAGGTGAAACTTCGAAGAGCGACCAGGACAATCACAGGTGCGGCAGTGCCAAGGAGTGTATCTGTATACCAGTGCATACAAGATTTTAAAAGGATTCAGGAGTTTATTTGTTTAAAAGCAGAATGTTTAACGAGGTAGTTAGAAGTTTTGTTAGTAAGCATAAAGCATATTTTGAGTTGTCCAAGAATGGAGATCAGTAGATAAGTTTCAGATCTCAAAATAAAGAAAAAAGTATTCACGCGCTGCGCTTTGGGAGAGGCTGTCGGCCATCTTGAACAGGAGCTGCTTCACTTCCTGTTTGGCAGTGACGGCGTCCATCTTTGTCAAGTCCAGCAGAGCGGGGTTAGAACCAGTGACCAGGCGTAACTGTGCAAGTTCATTCTTCACACCTAAACACACATCCCCAGAGCTGAAGAGAGACAAAGAGCAAGAACTGATCAGAAGATTATGAAAACATTGATATATATTTGTGTTGATCCAGGAAAATATTTTAGATCAAGTATTGGTGGAATATTGATTTTGGTTGATTTTACAGATCTGTTTATGTATTTGATGGCTAATATTAACAGTGATAGCGTAAACCCATGCAAAGTTGTTCTGTGGTAACTTAATACATAACACACACACTAACCCATTTTGTAATAAGTTAACTGGGATTTGATCAATAAGCAAGTAATTTTTATTTATATAGTGCATGTTTAAAGACCAAGGTCATCCAAAGTGCTTTACAATGTTCAGATAAATATATCAGGTGTCTGCAGATTCTGTAGATTCTACAGATGCCTCTATGGGATAGATCTCTGAGCACACTTGGTGCCATAATGGAGCAGCTGCAAAGTGCCCTTAGGCAAGACACTTCACCCACCTTGCCTATAAAAAGATTGGACATAATAAGCTGGATGCATATCTGCAAATCTGCAATGGTGCGTGAGGAATGTAAATAATAAAGCCAGACCTCAGTTTGTGACATAAATCCTCTGGTGATTTCAGCGACAGTTTCTGCATCTAAAACAGAAAATAATTTCAAAACATGTGTTGGAGTATAATGTGATTTACAAAAAAGTAAATCTGAACCAAACTCACAAACTTCTCCAGAGCCTCATCTGCGATATCTACTGTCCAACAATCTGCCGCATCTGTCACACTACAACAACACAGATTACAGAAATTCATGGAACAAAAAAAACAAAAATAGTATTCAAGAATTTAACTCTTCCATTTTGTATTTGTGGCTATGCATGCAATGGATTTTTATTATCTCACAATCCGAAAGAACGTGGTTAATGCTAGATCCATGGGTTAAAGTCTCTCTGGGGTTTGAATGGGTTTGGCGTAAGGTCTTTGGTCAGTGTTTGTACCTGACTTTAAAGCCTTCGTGTTTCCTCCGTGTGTGGCAGACGTATTTAGACCCGGAGATTCTGTCTGACACGGAGCAGAAGCGACACGACTCCATGTTCATGTGTTTCTCTGTGGATTTCTTCTTTTCAGACGTGCGTCGCAGAATCACAACAACGATTTGAACTCTTCCGGGTAGAGCCACGGCGCAGGCGCAGTCTAAACCATCTCACTGCTGCCCCCTGGCGTAGAGTGTAGTTCCATAATGTCTACTCAAGATCAAGCTAATATGGTTTGCACTTTGATAAACCTAAGCTGTTTTAAAAGTCTTTAAAAATGAATATTGATTAATTTTTGTAAAGCCCTAAATCATAACAGCAGCTGTCTTGGAGGACTTTATAAAGTTGTTGATTTACCAACAACAGATGAGTGAATCAAACAGTTCACACAGAGGAAATGCAACAATAAACCCATTGGTATGGAAGACTATTGGCACCTTAATTCAATTGTCTATTCATTTGTCAAATGGCTATGCATTATGTTATTTTAGTATTTATTTTGTATTTGTATTTGTCAAAGTGTAATGTTATATCCAATTTTGACATTTAATATTCTATTCCAAAAGTTCTAATGACAATTCAATATGTAAAGTGTCGATACAATGTCTTTATATATTGCAAATTACAAGATTTTGAAATGAATAGCATATTGCCATGGAATTTTGGCCTCTTTATTCATTGTTCTATTCATTCTTAACATGGCATTTAGTTTAGAGTTGTATTTGGCAAAATGTCATGTTATATCCTATTTTGACTTGTATTCCACATTTGAGTATGTTAAGTTTCATTTAATGTGTTGTGAAACAGCACCTCCCTCTGGATTGCATTGCATATTGCATTGCCACATGGTTTGAGTGCAACTTAATTCAATATGCTATGCAGTTCTTGACCCCTGGGAAGGCGGGCCCTGGTCCGCTCTCGGCCAATCAGAGACAAGTCTCTGTTAAAAACGGGCTGCTCTTGGTCGGTCACCAGTCACAGTTAATGTGAAGCCGATTCAGACAGTGACATGGCATATCTTCTAACTACAGTGGGCACACTTGGATCTTCAGACGCACTCCGAGTCAGCACCGTGCGGAGAAAAACACAAGTTGTGAACTGTTGCTAACAAGTTGAAGGGCAGTAACTCTGCTATTTTAAGCGAGGAATGAGCATATAGGAAATTAGGAATAAATCGCACTAAAACCATAAAGTGTACACTATGGCTACAACTGAGGGCCACTTTAGCATAACAGTTCACAACTTGTGTTTTTCTCCGCACGGTGCTGACTCGGAGTGCGTCTGAAGATCCAAGTGTGCCCACTGTAGTTAGAAGATATGCCATGTCACAGTCTGAATCGGCTTCACATTAACTGTGACTGGTGACCGACCAAGAGCAGCCCGTTTTTAACAGAGACTCGTCTCTGATTGGCCGAGAGCGGACCAGGGCCCGCCTTCCCAGGGGTCAAGAACTGCATAGCATATTGAATTAAGTTGCACTCAAACCATGTGGCAATGCAATATGCAATGCAATCCAGAGGGAGGTGCTGTTTCACAACACATTAAATGAAACTTAACATACTCAAATGTGGAATACAAGTCAAAATAGGATATAACATGACATTTTGCCAAATACAACTCTAAACTAAATGCCATGTTAAGAATGAATAGAACAATGAATAAAGAGGCCAAAATTCCATGGCAATATGCTATTCATTTCAAAATCTTGTAATTTGCAATATGTAAAGACATTTCATTGACATTTTACACATTGAATTGCCATTAGAACTTTTGGAATAGAACATTAAATGTCAAAATTGGATATAACATTACACTTTGACAAATACAAAATAAATACTAAAATAACATAATGCATAGCCATTTGACAAATGAATAGACAATTGAATTAAGGTGCCAATAGTCTTCCATACATTGGAGCCATTGGTCAATAGGGAGCTGATGACCATGTATGTAAATAAATGTCCCATATCACCACTGTCCTTAGACCCTCTTCCTCTTACATCTGCAAATAAAATAAACATACAGTGGGCACAAATCATGGATCTGGGAACAAATGTGAGAAACCTCTGTAAGGCCCATATTGAGAAAGGGAAACGCTCCCATGGCCAGGGACTGTAGAACCAGGAGTGAGGCTGTAGAACAAGGACTGAGGCTGTAGATCCAGGATTGAGGCTGTGGAACGAGTGATGCTGTAGATCCAGGACTGAGGCGAGTTTTCACAATCATCAGTGAATATTTACAGTTTAGGACTTACCTGGATCTGCAGCATAGACTTGACCTCACTGCAGCGAAGCAGCTCACTCAAATATTAGTCGGCCCTCATTCAGTTCTAATATACAAACATTTCAATCAAAATGGAAACAAAGTAAGACACAGTGTAAGTAAGTAATCTTTATAAACACAGCATTTCACAGATCAAGGTCACACAAAGCTCTTTACAATGTTATTGGAGAAAAAAATCGGTCTAATACAAAAACTTTGAGAGTGTGATTACCAGTAACACGCACATTTACTTTTTACCGTAGATTAACCCTATTTTCCTCATGCCGGTTTATGACAGCCACATACTGTTTTTATTTTATAGACGATAAAATAATACCCTTGGCCTTTACAATATGGCCGGTCAGGGAATATTACTCCCTCATGGAATCACAGACAGACCATGCAACAACTTTTATAATGAGGTCAGAATAATAATCTTGAGTGCTGTTCCAGAGTGTGAAATGTGAGTAAGGATTAGAGAGTGATTTTGAACCAGACTTTTTTTCTCTTTGGACTGTGGCGGCTGACAAACAGCCTTCACTTATACAGTAAATCGCTAGAAAACCTGCTTCAAACTTCTGGACATATAGTATCTGGATGTGAAAGCCAGATATGAAGCTACTGTAAGCAAGGCAGGGTTGTGTCCTTAGGCAAGACCACATTACCTAGCATGAGCCTAGTGTGTGTGAATGGTTGGTGGTGGTCAGAGGGGTCGATGGCACATACTGGTTGCCTCGCTTTTGTCAGTGTGCCTCAGGGCAGCTGTGGCTTCTGCATTATTTTATTACCACTGTGTATGGAGTGAAAGACTAATGGCATGTAAAGCGTCTTTGAGTGTCTAAAAAAGCGCAACACAAAACTGATATAATATTATCATCATTATTATTATTATTATTATTATTATTATTATTATTATTACTACAACTTTATTTTGTAACAGTTCAGTCCTGCTTCACTCAGTCCGGTCTTGTATCCACTGGGCAAAACGCGCAGAGTATTTTCGGGGGCTGACTGTGGAAAAAGCTCGACCCGGGAATCGAATTCTCTTCCACAGATTTTCCAGCCGTTTTTTCCAACCATAAACCGTAAAAATGTCAATGATTCCTACAAAGTAACGTTTCTCTGGACCGTCAACCACATGCACGGCATTGTCACAATTGGGCAGCAGGCGGCGATGGTGCTCTCCAAACTCCTGCAGCTCTGAGTGAGTCGAGCCCAGTGGAGCCAGTTGGATGGCCTCTGGGTCAGACAGGTCAACAGTGGGGTCTGGGCCTGGATCAGGGTCCGTGGGGGCGCTGTTCTGAGAGAGGAGTGGGGCTGTGGGTTCATCTGGTTCTGGACTGTCCAAATCCAGAGATCTGAGGGAAAGACCAGAGGGGTAGTATAAAGTATAGATGTACATTTACATTTTTGTTTCTAGGGCTGATGTGTAAAAAGTAGTGTCAACGACTGCAATAACGGTATAAGTTGTGATGATTTCCTTTCCCAAATAATTCAATGTTGGAACTGTGAGTTTGCTCATCTCTTCCCCTCCATCTTGAGTTTTGAGAAGCAGGAAATTGCAATGTTTATGCATTAAATACCCCCACATAATTTTGACATAAATGAATGTTTACAATAAAAGTAATGTGTTTTTGTGTATCCACATGCGTGTAGATAATATATACTATTCATCAGAAGACAATATCTCTTAATACCACAGTTGGGTGTCTAGACTTTGTTTTTTTACATGTGATTATGAATCCCAATTAAATTTAGCTGGTGTAAATAAAACTTGGAAGACTAAACCAGGGGTCAACCTTTTTCTAGTTTTTTGTTGACAGGAAAAGAGAAGTGAAAGAAGTCTGGGCCATCCTATCACCTTATAAGGAGATTCACACCCTACAATTATTTTCATAAGAATTGGCTGAGGGGAAGTAAGAGACATTACATGAGAACGCCTGACAGCCTTGATTCTTCTTTTACATAGGGAGAGATAGGGAAAGGAACATTGAGCAGGGTTACAGGCTAAATAAATATTATGTGATTTGAACCCTTTGAATTTCCTTCCTGGTCCGATTTGATTAACGTTATTTTATAGTGGACTTGGCTCAACGTTCATATGTAGACTATTTCCTTAACCCTAAAAATGAGAGCCAGTTTTTCAAGAGCAAACTGGGGCTGGTTTAGTTCAGTCCAGTCTACTCTGCCTACTGACTATTGACGCCAAAAGATGCCGACTTAACATATAACATACAACAAGCATTTATATTGTCAATGGTCAATCATTTTTGGGATTCTGGGTCCAAGTCTTTACGCATAAACACAATGTAAACATTATATATTCAAGTCTGGCTCTCACTTAGTGGTGCGGAGGACGAGGTTGGCAAAGGAGTGCTTTCTATCCAGCTCATCCTGGTGCAGAGGTTGATGTGCGATCAGGAGACTGTAGTCCAGAACGTTCAAACTGCGAAGAAACTCTGAGTCCGCTTTTACCTGCTCCACAAACCAGGCCTTCTCTGGACCTGAAAGCACAGACAGATCAGATATGTACTTGATATTTATGGACATCTATTCACATTTATGAACAATGGTCATCTGCCCCTTATAGACCAAATGGGTTAGGGTTGTGTTTTTTCTATCATTGCATTTCCTGCGTTTCCTGTTTGATTCTCTGATCAGTGTTGGCGAATCCACATTTTTGTAAAGCCCTCCAAGATGACGACTGTTGTGATTTAGGGCAATCAATAACAACAAAAAGTAATACGATAACATGGGACAAGAGAGAACATGTAACATTACTTTCAATAGAGAAAAGGGTTAGGGTTAAGTAAATAAAGTTCAACAAATAGAGAATTATGATGAAACCTGCCTATGTAAACTTATGTTTTGACAGAGGAAAAAATAGCTCTTTGAGGAAATTTGGAGGGTTCTAATCTATGCTTGTATCAGTGCTTTAGTGTTTAGTGGCTAAATTTTATGTTTTTGGGTTCATATATAGTCTTAAAGTACTCTTATATATTGTATGGTCCTGTTACTGCATGACTTGTGAATATGTGTCTTAATAAGTATATAGCGGGGAAAGAAAGTGCTACCAGGGTCCTATGGATTCTTTCCTGCAAATACATTTGGTTTGGTCAGTAATTGCTGGTGAGCACTATTCTACCTGAGCACCAATATAATACATTCATGCAGGGCACTGGTCCACAGACGTACCCAGGCCAATGTTTCCTTGGAAGTCGTTGTCTTTCAGGACTTTGATAATCTGTTTCCCTCCGGTGTCTGGGTGGGTCCACCTGCCTACCTCACAGCCCTTTACATCGTACCTGAAAACACAAAGGATTTGACTCCTTAAAACAACTTCAATTCTTTCTGCGCCCTTGGGGGTCTCACCAATTTAACTGTGCCATTTCTATTCCTTTTGTCTTTATAAAATAAAAATCAATAATGGATGATAATAAAATGATGAACAGGCTGATAGGGTAAGCTGTTATGCTAACAGCTTGTTTACTTGTGTTAACATGCTAAAATCCTCCTCATCAAACATGTTTATTTCAGAACATGTACAACCAAATCCACTGAATAAAATAACATGATTTTTACATACGTGTTTTGAAAAGGGGTTGAATGAAGCCAATGAATCCAATCCATTATTGATTGACTGCGGAACCTTCCGCAGTCAACCATTGGTTTTGTATTTCTTTATTCCGTCATTTTTTTTGACACGTTTCACAGCTTTCACATTTTCAACAATTTCCACAAGTTATACATCAAAACGTTCCACATGTTTGGGAGATTATTGCTATTACTTTTGGGACTTCAGCGATTTCCGGTTTTTCCGCAATCGGACAAAAATCTGCATTGAGAATTCTGCAATGCATTTTAATAGGCCCATGCATTTTAATAGGACTTCAGCTCTTTCAGACATTTCTACAGTTTCAATGATTCAACAGTTTCAAGGATTCAACAGTTTCAAGGATTTCAGCAGTTTCAAGATTTCAAGAGTTTCAAGGACTTCAACAGTTTCAAGGACTTCAGCAGTTTCAAGGACTTCAGCAGTTTCAAGGACTTCAGTGTAATCATGCAACCTAATAGGGATTTTTCCATGTAAACCAGTATAATGCAACTTAATAGGGATTTTTCCATGTAAACCAGTATAATGCAACTTAATAGGGTTTTTTCATGTAAACCAGTATAATGCAACTTAATAGGGTTTTTTTTCATGTAAACCAGTATAATGCAACTTAATGGGGATTTTTCCATGTAAACCAGTATAATGCAACTTAATAGGGGTTTTTACATGTAAACCAGTATAATGCAACTTAATAGGGTTTTTTCCATGTAAACCAGTATAATGCAACTTAATAGGGTTTTTTCCATGTAAACCAGTACAATGCAACTTAATAGGGATTTTTCCATGTAAACCAGTATAATGCAACTTAATGGGGATTTTTCCATGTAAACCAGTATAATGCAACTTAATGGGGATTTTTCCATGTAAACCAGTATTATGCAACTTAATAGGGATTTTTCCATGTAAACCAGTATAATGCAACTTAATAGGGATTTTTCCATGTAAACCAGTATAATGCAACTTAATGGGGATTTTTCCATGTAAACCAGTATTATGCAACTTAATAGGGATTTTTCCATGTAAACCAGTATAATGCAACTTAATAGGGTTTTTTTCATGTAAACCAGTATAATGCAACTTAATAGGGTTTTTACATGTAAACCAGTATAATGGAACTTAATAGGGGTTTTTACATGTAAACCAGTATAATGGAACTTAATAGGGGTTTTTACATGTAAACCAGTATAATGCAACTTAATAAGGATTTTTACATGTAAACCACTATAATGTAACCTAATAGGGGTTTTTACATGTAAACCAGTATAAAGCAACTTAATAGGGATTTGTACATGTAAACCAGTATAATGCAACCTAATAGGGATTTTTCCATGTAAACCAGTATAATGCAACTTAATAGGGATTTTTCCATGTAAACCAGTATAATGCAACTTAATAGGGATTTTTCCATGTAAACCAGTATAATGCAACTTAATAGGGATTTTTCCATGTAAACCAGTATAATGCAACTTAATAGGGATTTTTCCATGTAAACCAGTATAATGCAACTTAATAGGGTTTTTTTCATGTAAACCAGTATAATGCAACTTAATAGGGTTTTTTTCATGTAAACCAGTATAATGCAACTTAATAGGGTTTTTTTTTACATATAAACCAGTATAATGCAACTTAATAGGGTTTTTTTCATGTAAACCAGTATAATGCAACTTAATGGGGATTTTTCCATGTAAACCAGTATTATGCAACTTAATAGGGATTTTTCCATGTAAACCAGTATAATGCAACTTAATAGGGTTTTTTTCATGTTAACCAGTATAATGCAACTTAATAGGGTTTTTTTCATGTAAACCAGTATAATGCAACTTAATAGGGTTTTTTCATGTATAATGCAACCTAATAGGTTGCATTATACCACCAGACCAAGACCCAAACGAAGACTCAGACCACCACCAGATAATGACCACAGACCAGGTTTCCTTAGTTACAGGAACCAAATTGTTTCAGCGGTGAGGGGATTTTTCAGTTTCAAGGACACTTTCAATACATTCAGTAGTTTCAAGGATTTCAGCTGTTTAAGAATTTAACCAGTTTCAAGGATATCAGGAGGTTCAAGGATTTCAGGAGTTTCCACACTTTCAACAGTTTCCAGGTTTAAAAAAGTTTCAAGGATTTCAGGAGTTTCAATGTTTCAACAGTTTCAAGGATTTCAGGAGTTTAAAGGTTTCAACAATTTCAAGGACTTCAGGAGTTTCAAATATCTATCAAGTATTTTAACAGTTTCAAGGCTTTTTAAAGGATTTCAAGGATTTTTTTTAGCAGATTTCCACATTAGATCTGTTCCGCAGTCAATCGCAATGGCTTCAGCCATTGCAAGTTTCTAGTTCCTGTTATTGATTGACTGCGGAACCTTCCGCAGTCAACCATTGGTTTTGTATTTCTTTATTCCGTCATTTTTTTTGACACGTTTCACAGCTTTCACATTTTCAACAATTTCCACAAGTTATACATCAAAACGTTCCACATGTTTGGGAGATTATTGCTATTACTTTTGGGACTTCAGCGATTTCCGGTTTTTCCGCAATCGGACAAAAATCTGCATTGAGAATTCTGCAATGCATTTTAATAGGCCCATGCATTTTAATAGGACTTCAGCTCTTTCAGACATTTCTACAGTTTCAATGATTCAACAGTTTCAAGGATTCAACAGTTTCAAGGATTTCAGCAGTTTCAAGATTTCAAGAGTTTCAAGGACTTCAACAGTTTCAAGGACTTCAGCAGTTTCAAGGACTTCAGCAGTTTCAAGGACTTCAGCAGTTTCAAGGACTTCAGTGTAATCATGCAACCTAATAGGGATTTTTCCATGTAAACCAGTATAATGCAACTTAATAGGGATTTTTCCATGTAAACCAGTATAATGCAACTTAATAGGGTTTTTTCATGTAAACCAGTATAATGCAACTTAATAGGTTTTTTTTCATGTAAACCAGTATAATGCAACTTAATGGGGATTTTTCCATGTAAACCAGTATAATGCAACTTAATAGGGGTTTTTACATGTAAACCAGTATAATGCAACTTAATAGGGTTTTTTCCATGTAAACCAGTATAATGCAACTTAATAGGGTTTTTTCCATGTAAACCAGTACAATGCAACTTAATAGGGATTTTTCCATGTAAACCAGTATAATGCAACTTAATGGGGATTTTTCCATGTAAACCAGTATAATGCAACTTAATGGGGATTTTTCCATGTAAACCAGTATTATGCAACTTAATAGGGATTTTTCCATGTAAACCAGTATAATGCAACTTAATAGGGATTTTTCCATGTAAACCAGTATAATGCAACTTAATGGGGATTTTTCCATGTAAACCAGTATTATGCAACTTAATAGGGATTTTTCCATGTAAACCAGTATAATGCAACTTAATAGGGTTTTTTTCATGTAAACCAGTATAATGCAACTTAATAGGGTTTTTTACATGTAAACCAGTATAATGGAACTTAATAGGGGTTTTTACATGTAAACCAGTATAATGGAACTTAATAGGGGTTTTTACATGTAAACCAGTATAATGCAACTTAATAAGGATTTTTACATGTAAACCACTATAATGTAACCTAATAGGGGTTTTTACATGTAAACCAGTATAAAGCAACTTAATAGGGATTTGTACATGTAAACCAGTATAATGCAACCTAATAGGGATTTTTCCATGTAAACCAGTATAATGCAACTTAATAGGGATTTTTCCATGTAAACCAGTATAATGCAACTTAATAGGGATTTTTCCATGTAAACCAGTATAATGCAACTTAATAGGGATTTTTCCATGTAAACCAGTATAATGCAACTTAATAGGGGTTTTTACATGTAAACCAGTATAAAGGATAACAGTTTAAAGGATATCAGGAGCTTCAAATACTTCAGGAGTTTCAAAGATGTTTAAAGTATTTTAACAGTTTCAAGGATTTCAAGGATTTTTCAGCTAAATTCCACATTAGATCTGTTCCGCAGTCAATCGCAATGGCTTCAGCCATTGCAAGTTTCTAGTTGATTATATTTTTATCTGCTGGTAACCGTCTGTAACCGTGACTGTACAGGTGAGAGTTATTAGTTCCTCTTCAAAGTGATTGACTGACATTTTGTGACCAATGAGCGCCATTGTCCCGCCCACTTTCTGGAACGTTTCTGTGGCGCCATTTTTACTTGACAGAAGCAAAGAAATGTGGTCAAATTCAAGTTTCCCCTCAAAAGAAAAACGAAAAGAAGGAAGGAAACAAAAACATAACGTAAACATATGGATAAAGAGGAGATAAGAAGACAACGACAAACGGCTCCACCTGCTTTTAAACCGCCAACCTGCATAAGGTAATAACACTACCATCAAGTGTCTACCATTAGCTAACCATTGCTAAATATTTTTAAATAAATAGATAAACATCAAATTGAGTCAGGACTGAATCTGACCAACATTCTCTCATTACATTAATTTCTATTGTATATGTTTTTAGTGGCCTGGAGGTGGAATCGAACCCAGGACCTTCTTTCTGTGAAGCACGTGGAATATGACAGGGTAAAAGTGTATTTGTTGTATTTGTAACAAAGTCAGGCAAGGAAAGCAACAAAATAGAAGAGATAAACAATATGCATGCAAACAAAGGCTTGAAAATGAATGACACTAGGGAAATGTGTCCCATCCTCCAATGCCTCTAGGAAACCTGCTAGCAAGAAGTTGTACAGCCATAGATTGGACTGTTTAGGCAATATTTTGAGGATGATAACACAAAAACGCAATTTTACCACACATCAAGTGCTACAGTGTCAATGCAGTTTTTAGTATTTTTTCTAAATGATAACATAATTGAGTGGATTTGTGGAAATCTAATCCTGTGCGAATAGGGCTATAGATGTTAAATGGAGGACACACTCTTTTGATAGCTAGTTTCTGATTTTATAATGATTTGAAAACAGAAAACATGTTTAATTGAAGTTAAATGGCGAAGTTAAATTTATGTAGTCAAAATCTCTGCCTGGGCGTTAACCTTCGAGCACGTCTGTATTTGCTTTACGAGTTTTTTCTCCGATTATTCTTACCTGACATTGATCCTCTCATCAGGGAAGAAAACACTTTGCATCACAATAAAATACTTCTGTAAGACATTTTGAAACATATTAGAGTAAAAAGTTTCTGATGGATTACATTTCACAGCCCTTTTTACCTGCGTTTCATTTGGAATCACAATCTTGTACACTCCTGAAAAGAAATATGAAATCCATCATATATAATTATTTAGAGATGTTTGAGTAAGTAATAAGTAGTTGTACCTAAAAAGCGGACCATGATGGAGTGTGGGTACTTTTCCAGATGATCCACATAGGCCTTTAGGTTGTTCAATACAATTCAAGACAAACATGTATATGGCGGCGCGCAGATGGGCAGGTGCTGCGTCGCTGCCAGTCAAACCCTTCAAATTCAACAATACTCGGCCGCAATATCAAGTGATACGCGGAAAAAGGAGAATAATAGATAACAGACTCAAGATCGCTGCGTGGACTATAACATATATTATCTGCGTTACATTGAGCTCCATCCGAGCATGTCTCACTGAGTCATCTACGCCACCAGCTGATGCAAATTCCCTCTACGTTCAACCTGGGATTCCCACCGCTTATGCCTACTTGACTATATCAATTGGACACTATACATCATACCACAGTGTTCTCAGCAATGGCAAAGCAATGTTCCGTAGCACAGCGAACAACAATGGGACCCATAAATATCCATATAGCCAGCAGAAACAACTTCTTGGTTACCTGATACTGACACTCCTGCTCGCTGGCGATGTTCAGCCAAACCCGGGACCAGTCGTCATTGCGGATATGTCTCCATGCCTCTACCCCGACAGAAACCTGGACTCTGGCGAAGACGCAGAACTGCGTGGGGCGATCTACGACGACAACAGTGGTGAGTTCAATTCACCCGGCTCGCTGCTTGCTCCAGTACCAAAGGTGCTGAGCCGCGTGTGCGCACAAACAAGTTCTACACCGCGTCCAAAATCAGGGTATAAGGTGAATCCAGCCGTCGTCAAAAACAACAAATTTAGACTATTTAGAACTGTCAATCATGCTCGTGTGCTGTGGGACGCTAGAGCTAAACCAAGCGGCTTACTAGGCGGACATCTAAACATCAGAAGCGCTATACCAAAGAGCGACCAACTGCAACATCTTCTGTACCAATCGAATCTGGATTTCTTGTGTCTTTCGGAATCATGGACTCACGAGAATTCTCCCATTGATGTATTAAACGTAAATGGATATAACATGTTTAGACGGGACAGAACTGAAGGACGCGGAGGGGGCGTGTTGTTCTATGTTAATGAGAACATTAAATGTGAGCAAATCAACTGGAAAAATGACCCTGGTCTTGAATGTATTGGTCTAAAAGTTACTCTGGCTGACCAAATGTCTTTTATCTTGCTGGGACTATATAGACCCCCAAATGCAAAACATATTTTTTATGACAAGTTGAACACATTGATAAAGCAATGTGATATACATAATGAAATAATATTAATAGGAGATTTTAACATTAATTGGAATGATAAAGTAAAAAGGAAAGAATTAAAAAACATTTCCTGTAAATATGATCTTAACCAAATCATTGAGGGACCAACCAGAATCACCAATACATCTGAAACACTCATTGACCTAATTCTTACTAATAGGCCGGATCGGATCAAGAAGAGCTACAATTTAACAACTGGATTATCAGATCATAACATGATACTGTTTATAAGGAAAGTTAAAACTAAAATAAATGCATTGTCTAATATGAAACGAGAACAGCTAAAAATTCCTAAAAAACAGTTACCTTTGCTTGAACAAACAATTAGGGAAACTGACTGGGCACAGTATGTTCAGGAAGATAGTCTAGAAAGTAGCTGCAGTATCTTTATGAATCGACTTAAAACAATTATAAATGGCTTCAGGAAGAAAATCACATGCAAACGAGGAAAGGGAAATAATCTGCCCTGGATAAATGGAGATATTTGGACTCTTATGAAACAAAGGGATCATGCTCTCAAAATGGCTCTTAAAAGTAAGAAAGATAATGATAGGCGATTGTTTACGTCTCTAAGAAATAAAGTCACAAAACTGATAAGAAATACAAAAGCTTCCTTTTTCATCAATGTTATAAATAATTCAAAGGGGAATGCAAAGGAAATATGGCAGAATTTAAACAAATTAACAGGAAAAAATGCTAAAGAAAATAAACCAATAAAATTGAAAATAGAGGAAACTGTCTATGAGGATGCAAGTGTAGTTGCCAATGCTCTTAATAATCATTTTGTCGCATCCATACAAAAATTGACAACTCATAACCAATCTAATTTTAAAGTCGAACCTATAAAAATTGATGCTCCCGTATTGACATTCACAGAAGTAACTCAGTCAAAGATAGAAACAATCATCTCATCTATTAAGTCCTCAAGGGCAAAGGATATCTATGATATTGATACCTTGTTTTTAAAATCAAATAAGGTAACATTAATCCCATCCTTATGTAAATTAATAAACTGGTCAATCACTGAAGGATTATTTCCCACTGCCTGGAAAACCGCTGTGATCACACCCATCTTTAAATCAGGGGATCACACAAATATAAACAATTATAGACCAATAAGCATTCTCCCGACATTATCAAAAGTATTGGAAAAATGTGTCTCAGAGCAAATCATTTCTCATTTAAATCATTCACCATTTAAGTTGCATCAAATGCAATTTGGATTTCGTAAATTTCATTCTACCGATACTGCAAACATTTATCTTACAGAGAATATCAAATCAAAATTGGATAGAGGGGGTATAGTTGGGGCCATCTACCTCGACTTAAGAAAAGCCTTTGATACTGTCAACTCAGACATATTAATTGCTAAATTATCTAAATTTAACTTTTCACCTAAGGTGCTACAATGGGTGGCATCATACTTAAAAGACAGGAAACAGTGCGTCAGGGTTAATAACAAAACATCTGAAGTAATGTATAACTCTATAGGTGTGCCCCAGGGCTCAACCCTTGGCCCTTTACTCTTCAGTTTATTTATCAATGATTTACCTGATGTATGTTCTGAAGCATCATGTCAGTTATATGCTGACGACACCATCATTTATGTTCACGCAAAAACGAAACAGCTGGCGGCAGAGAAGCTGTCATCTGTAATGGTGTCAGTCTGTGACTGGTTAAAAAATTCAAAATTACACTTAAATACTGATAAAACTATGTGTATGTTCTTCTCTAAGTCGGCAACTAAAGAGAGCGATCCAATAGTTTTGGTGAATGGGCAAGCACTACAAGTGGTGCAAGAGTACAAGTATTTAGGTGTCACCATGGATTCTCAATTATCATTTAAAAAACATGTTAAGAAATTGAGGAACAAAATTAAATTCAATTTAGTGAATTTTAAACACATTAGAAATAACTTAACAACTGATGTTTCAAAATTATACCTAAACGCCACAATTCTCTCGCATATTAATTACTGTATGACGAGTTGGTCTCAGGCCAACAAGACTACACTGTTGCCCATAGAAAGACTTTATAAGCAGACAGTAAAAACATTAGACAAAAAGAATAATTCATATCACCACTGTAAAGTTTTTACCAAACATAATTTCTTAAAGTGGGATCAGTTGATAATGTACTCTGATGTAATTATGGTCTATAAAACCCTAAATGGACTTGCACCGCCTCCATTACAGGAGTTTATACAGCTGAATGTAAATACAAACACGCACTCATCAAGCAGAGGAGACTGTAGAATCCCATTTAGAAAAACTTCATTTGGACAATCTGCCTACTCAGTACGCGCAGCACATTCCTGGAACTTGATTCCAACAGAATTGAGGAACCTGACCTCATTTCACATTTTTAGGAACTCTGTGAAGAAGTGGCTTTTGGACAATCAGACATGTGAACACAACATGAACTAAAGTCACCAAACACTGATACATGTCTTGCTGTGGAGGATTTTGGTGTTGTGTATATTGTCCCTTTCTGAATTTTTAGTTGAACAAATTCTTATATATTCCTTGCATTTTTAACTATATGTTGTATTCTTCTTTCACTGTCTTTTTATGTCTCTGTGATGGTGTTTCTGCTGTATGTTTGTGCCTGTTGTATGTCCTATACTACCTATCTTGACATCAACCTGCCATGGGACTACGGATGAAAATTAGCCTATATGGCTAACTCCGGCGCATTTACATGTTGAAAAAACACATGTTGATTAATGTGCACTGTCCCAATTCAAATAAATAATTTAAAAAAAAAAAAAAAAAAAAAAAAAAAAAATAGAAACTGCACCTCGCGTCGACTCTGGGTCTTCAGGAAAAACCTCTTGTCATAACTAAAAGCAATTAGCAAATGATTTGAATTAAAGTAATTTAATTTATGTTTTTATATCCCTAAATCACAAAAACAGTCTCGCAGGACTTCACAAAGTTGTCGATTTGCCATCAACAGATCAGTTTGAACATAGAAATGCACTATTATCAAACATTGGTCCATAGGAAGCCGGATGAGTAATGTCCATAAATGTTGATAAATGTACTTAAATGTCCCGTATCATCACTTTCCATCGACCCTCCTGCATCGGCAAGGAACAAATTAATGATAGTTTGATTAACTCACGTGACAAAGAAGTTTGCTCTGCTCTTGGAGTTACTGATGAACTGGAGGTAGCACTGATCAGAGCAAAGAGAATCCAAGTACTGATCCTCTGAAATGTCCAAAGAGCGCCTCACGTGCTGGAACACAGGAGCCGCAAAGGTCTCCATGGTGAAGCCCTGTCACACGACCAACCAAGTCAAACTTTGCAAAAGACTACGGCATGTTATGGCCTATTTCCAAACGGCACTGTGCCACTTAAACCATACATTTCATTCTAAGGACGCGACTTTCTCTGCTGTATTGTGCGCAACGATGACGCTGAAATCTCCCCACTGTGGGACGAATAAAGGAATATCTTATCTTATATAGAACATTTATGTTAACCTCCCTTTAATTGATGGCAATAATTTTGTTCCAACAAATTTGAAAGTTTTTGACTCAATATTTAGTAATATGACAATTAAAATCCGAGAAAAGATTTACATTGTACATATAGAGCCAGACTCATGGTAAAAAGGTACAGTTCTATTCTAAAAAGTAATTCTTGGATTTAGAGGGTTATCCAGATCCCCATAATGCAATGATTTGTTCCATGTCCTATTTCTGAGTATTTTTGAAAGCTTCATCAAAATCCACTTACTGTTTTGTCCGACTGACCTTGTGATTGCACTACCAGGCAGCGGTAACAAATATTGTGCACTATTTATGTGTTCACATCATATTGACAATATTCACTTTACTTAATTTGTTCCTGCTGACAATGCAAATTTCTTGATCAGAAAATTACGTAGAAGATAATTGTATAATTGAATAAGAGATGGTGAGGTTGACCATAGTGGTAGAAGTCAGCTTTTCTAATTGTGTGGTTGTATGTAGCACAGGGTTCGGCCCCCAGTTGTTTGCGTCCTCTTGCCTTGTGCGTCTGTTCGTCTCTGCTCCTATAGTGTTCTGCGGTCAGAGCGTCCGGAGCCTCACTGATGAGCCCCTTCTGGATGGACACTCGCGCTCCCTCTTTAATGAACGTTGTGAGCCGGAAAAACTCGTGATCTGCAGTAATCTCAAAAACTCCCAGCATGCTCCACTGCTGTCGGATATCCCACCATCGCAGCCTCCTTCGAGCCGCTCTCGACACTGGAGCGTCGGCCATGTCTAATCACTACAGAAAGAAATCCTGTCCTTTTTGTTAGCTGTCAACAAATATCACTATACACACTATACCACTATACATACTATATATACTATACTACTATATATACTATACCACTATACACACTATACATACTATACCACTATACACACTATACCACTATACATACTATATATACTATACTACTATATATATACTATACTACTATATATACTATACCACTATACACACTATACATACTATACACACTATACTACTATATATACTATACCACTATACATGCTATATTCAGCTTCTCCTATTTGGGGATTGTTCTTAACTATACATTCTGTTAACTCACGTGACAACCATGGCCTTAAACATGTTTAATTCATGTCTTGTGATGTTACAGAAAACCTTGTGAACATGTACTGTATATTAATTGAACATAATTATGAAGGAACTTGTAATTTCAATTCAAAGTATTAGCTTGTTGTACCACATTCATTTGATTCTTAACCTGCATCAAAAGCAAAACCAGAACAAAATCCAAGAGTAAACTGGGACAAGGACTCATGAGGCTTTAACAGACGTAACTAAACATGACAAAACAAGGACAATTGAGGAGTATTTTACAGATGTAGCCTTCTGCTCTTTTACATTTTACAATACAGAATTTTTCTACATTTACTTTGTTTAACAGATTTAGCCTAAAGTTGTGGAGCAGTGCTTACCTGGGGGAGCCGTTTGGATACTTCCTGAATAAGAGGCGTTCATTGGTCCCGCCCCTGACCCCGCCCCCCGTGCATACCTGAGAGGTGAGTCACAAACGCTTCTCAGACGTTAAACCGGCACTGGAAGAACAGGACCATGCTGTATTTTGTACTATTCTTTTCCAGCTCACATTTCATTACATACAACAATAGTGGTTACAAAAATTAACAAAATCAGATCTACCCATAAAACATCTGCAAGAACGTGGCTTATTTTGATAACATGTAGGTAGCCAATTATTCTTTTAATGATGTACTTTCTGCACTATTTTGCGCACCTGTATATAAGCAACAGCAGCAACATTTAAAATTTAAAGTACATTTTGTCCACACGTATGCCGCAGCTTTTATGTATCAAATAGACTACTGTTTTAACTAGTCACAACACGATTTAATGACAAGGTGTTTAACTGATTAACCGTTAGCTTCCCTGCAGGTACTCACTGCAGTATTGTATTTTGGCAATAAACAATTGTCCTATAACCTCTAAAACTCTGCTTTGACAACTCAATAAGAATACACATATTGGGCCTCATGTATGGAACTTGCGTAAAAAAAGGTGTACATTTTGGGTGTATGTTCCATTTACGCAAAATCCAACGTCGGATTTATGAACGTATGAGATGCGCACAGATCTGTGCGTATCTCACCTGCGGGTGTTGATAAATGCAGCGGCTGAAAACGAACATATTTATGAAAGTCACACCTAGAATTATGCAGCAATCGCGTGTTTCGCGCCCGTTTTTGCGACAGGTCAGCACGGAAGCCTGCCAAAAAGATTGTTTGAAAGCCTCAAAAGGCACGTTTGTTTGTTCATGTTTACGTAAAATAAATATACGCTATATATTCAGCTGCGTTTTGAACAAGTTTGAAAAAATGTTTTGATACATTAGAAAAATCTCTCTTGGATTGTAGAAGTGCAATCCAAGTTGACAGCCAAAAAATGGTCAGGGGTTTCTCAACTGATTTAGACTAATGTTGGTGTTCTGAGTCCGAATATCACATGCATTTTGCTCTATCAGGTAAACTTGAGATACAGCCATAGTGTTACGGATTATGTACGTCTACGTTATTATGAATTCTGCTTATCAAATTTGATGGAGTAAATAAAAACTGAATGACTTTGGATACGTTGACTTTTATTTCTTGAGGAAAACGGAAAAAACGTCAAGGGTTTCTCAGCTGATGATCCGCAGAAATTGGTTTTTTACGCAAAATCGATAAAAAAAAATATTTCTGTAGCAAAAAATCCTGACCTGATTGAGCAAAACCAAAGTCATTTTCGGACTCAGAGCATCAAAATTAGTATTTTCAAAAAATATGTTTTTGTTACCCAGTGTAATGAATGAATGAATTCATACAGTGCCTTGCAAAAGTATTCGGCACCCTTGAACCTTTCAGCATTTCGCCACATTTCAGCTTCAAACATAAAGATATAAAATTTAAATTTTTTGTCATGAATCAACAAGAAGTGGGACACAATCGTGAAGTGGAACGAAATTTATTGGATAATTTAAACTTTCGTGCAATATAATATTATTATATTCGGCCCCGAATATTATTCGGCCCCTTTACTTTCAGTGCAGCAAACTCACTCCAGAAGTTCAGTGAGGATCTTTGAATGATCCAATGTTGTCCTAAATGACTGATGATGATAAATAGAATGCACCTGTGTGTAATCAAGTCTCCGTATTAGGGCTGGGCGATAAAACGATATATATCGCGATAGACATGTGTTCGATATCAATAGAGAATGGGGTCGATAGAATGTTCGATAGTTTAACTTAACTCCTTCAGGAAAAACAGGAAGAAAACACCGGAAGTAAAGCCGACTCATAAGCGCATGGCATTGTGGGGGATGTAGGCAGAGGCTTCTCGACCAACAACAGCCGAGCAGGAACCGCAAAACTTTCTGGGAAATGCAAAAACACCAACAACCGCACAATGCGTAGCGTCCATGGATCTATAGCTCGTGTTTCAATGCCGTGTCAATGGTTATGCACGTACGTGCACGGAATAACATGTGCAGCGGCAGAGGCAGTGGACAGACACGATGTATTCGGCGAAAGCAAGAGATTAACTTTTTCCTCGGGAAGCATGTGCGGCACAGAGAGCCGCACGGAGCGGTCACGGGGACACAAGACCCTCAAACAGCTAAACCAGGAGCAAAACCAGGATTAAACCAGGACTAACAACGAGGGACACAGTGTGAACATACTCCTCCAGCCTCATCGCCCCGTGACTGTAAACAAGGCTGCTAAGGTTGGTTAGCCCACACGACAAATATATTTAATTAGGTAAAAAAAAAAAACAATATATATCGTCATCGACCGATATGAATGACTTATATCGTGATATCGTTTTCAGCCATATCGCCCAGCCCTACTCCGTATAAATGCACCTGCTCTTTGATAGTCTCAGGGTTCTGTTTAAAGCGCAGAGAGAACCATGAAGACAAAGGAACACACCAGGCAGGTCAGAGATACTGTTGTGGAGACGTTTAAAGCCGGATTTGGATACAAAAAGATTTCCCAAGCTTTAAACATCTCAAGGAGCACTGTGCAAGCAATTATATTGAAATCAGAGATGCAGCCAAGAGGCCCAAGATCACTCTGGATGAACTGCAGATAACTACAGCTGAGGTGGGAGAGTCTGTCCATAGGACAACAATCAGTCGTGCACTGCACAAATCTGGCCTTTTATGGAAGAGTGGCAAGAAGTAAGCCATTTCTCAAAGATATCCATAAAAAGTCTCGTTTAAAGTTTGCCACAAGCCACCTGGGAGACACACCAAACATGTGGAAGAAGGTGCTCTGGTCAGATGAAACCAAAATCGAACTTTTTGGCCACAATGCAAAACGATGTTTGGCGTAAAAGCAACACAGCGTATCACCCTGAACACACCATCCCCACTGTCAAACATGGTGGTGGCAGCATCATGCTTTGGGCCTGCTTTACTTCAGCAGGGACAGGGAAGATGGCTAAAATTGATGGGAAGATGGATGGAGCCAAATACAGGACCATTCTGGAAGAAAACCTGTTGGAGTCTGCAAAAGACCTGAGACTGGGACGGAGATTTATCTTCCAACAGGACAATGATCCAAAACATAAAGCCAAATCTACAATGGAATGGTTCACAAATAGACGTATCCAGGTGTTAGAATGGCCAAGTCAAAGTCCAGACCTGAATCCAATCGAGAATCTGTGGAAAGAGCTGAAGACTGCTGTTCACAAACGCTCTCCATCCAACCTCACTGAGCTCGAGCTGTTTTGCAAGGAAGAATGGGAAAGAATTCCAGTCTCTCGATGTGCAAAACTGATAGAGACATACCCCAAGCGACTTGCAGCTGTAATTGCAGCAAAAGGTGGCGCTACAAAGTATTAGCGCAAGGGGGCCGAATAATATTGCACGCCCCACTTTTCAGTTTTTTATTTGTTAAAGTTTAAATTATCCAATAAATTTCGTTCCACTTCACGATTGTGTCCCACTTGTTGTTGATTCTTGACAAAAAAGTTAATTTTTATATCTTTATGTTTGAAGCCTGAAATGTGGCGAAATGTTGAAAGGTTCAAGGGGCCGAATACTTTCGCAAGGCACTGTATATATATTGCAGCGGTGGCTCTCATCAATGAAGTGTCTGCAGCGTCTTGGACGCAGCCTGGCTTGGGGTAGAAGTGCGCATTGAAGCACTGTACACTGAGAGAGCTTTTGCGATCCAGATTTTACAAAGAAACTCTGGAGCCAAAACTTCTGAATTACAGGAGTTTTGCGGCGCGACCTCTCACGGACCCGCTGCGCACTCTGGACAGAGCAGTGAGTCTGGAGTCTGGACAGGGCAGTGAGACATTTGGAGTGAGCGATACCATCCATCGGTGCGTTTGTGTGTGTGTCTGTGTGAGGCTTACACAAATCTAATGAAATAATACATTGCTTTACCAGATGTGAATGAGGGAAAACAAATAGCCGTGCGTAATTACGCAACCTAGAGCCTGCCACAGATTTATTGACAAAGCAATAGCTGGGTCACACATCCTTGTCGCGTAAAGTGTATTTGTATAGAGCCTTTCAGAGTCCTGGATCACAAAGCGCTTCACATTTTAAAAACATACAGATCAAAATAATTCACACAAAAGTCAGATTTAAAATCATAGAAACAGAAGAGGCTCCTCAGCATGATCTGTGATTTATTCAAAATGTGCGTGTTTCCAGAGTGTTAGAGTTTTTCTGATGCGCAAATTCAAATTTAG